TACGGAAGATTTATTTCTTGCACTAGAGGGGGGTGTCTATAAACACGACTTTTGTTTCTTCAACCCCCCCTCCAATCTCCCCTCCCTGGTCCCTCGGCTTGGTTGGCTGGTTTGATCCGTATGGATGATGGAATGGATGGATGCTTGCTTGTTTGCTATGCTTGGTCTGAATGAATAGAAGCACAGAACCCAAAGTGAAGATAAAATCATATGCTAACAGGTCAAACTGTCTTTTAGGTTAGGCGCGGCACCCGTTCGCCGACTTTCTGATCGATTGGCGGCACATACCTCGCTCCCCAATCGGAGCAGAGGATCTTCGTATGAATCAACAACTCCCTAAGGTATTTCATTTTTTTTTCGCTCTTCTACAATATATTAGTCCCTGTTGTGTATGGTGTGTGTCTCTTCTGCTGCGAGCAATTGAAAAATCCGCGACCAAAACCGAGGCCACGCTTTCACCTTCCTCTTGGCTTCACGAATAACGGCAATATAACCGCAATAAAGTTGTGTAATTACCGGAGCGCCCTCAGACAAGGAACAGTGCTGCAGTGTTGCAGAGAGAGAAACACAGGGTGAAAGAGACGACAAGACAGAATTCAAGGTCAGTAACGACAGCCTGCTAAGTTTGATTTTTGTTTCCCTTGTCATTACGTGTTTGGCTTTCTGTTTCGTTTTCTGCACACAAAAGCTTTCAATGATCTTCGGCGACCGGGATGGCGAGGCTGAAGTCGGCTTCGCGGCCAATGGCCAGCAAATCGCAACCGGTTTGCCTTTACTCGAACAAGCTACGCGACGGTTTTTTTTTCGTTGCTTGCAGTGTGTTTTCGTCAGCCCTAGTCCTTTCCGTCTTTCTGTTGGCTGCTCTCCGCCCTATCCGTATCGAGGACAAAGAGAAAAAAACCGACCAGGGGTCCTGCCCGGCATGCTGCATGGCGCAGTTGCTGGGCCATGATCTGACGGGCCACCGAGCCAGGGGCTTCGATCCCCGCTTCCTCCCCATAAGCTCATTCGCCTGGGTACAGGCCATAGGGCCCATCAGCGGGCGCTTGGAGGATTCGCTAGATGGATTCTCGAACGTCGATCCATTGTGCGCATTTTCTGTTGATCTTCCTTATACACGTCACCCCTCGCTCTCGTCCCCATGATGCTACATCCTCCAATCTGGCAGCAGTCCTTTATGGGGGATCAACGGCACTGTCAATCCAACAGACGAACAATATGACATGATTACATGACATGACCATGACACGCGAGGAAGGGGAGCAGCAACGGGGGCTGGCGTGGGTAGCGGGCGTGTGCTTTGTGGGATACATCGTACCGTTTATGAAGAAAACGGGGACCGGTGGGCGTTTGACTGGCCCATTAACAGCACACTGGGCATGCAGCTAAAAAGGCTGAGCTGCTGAGGGAACATGTCCCGTGGTCGCATCCCGGTCTGCGAGTCGCAGGCCTTGGCTAGGTACTTGGCCCTTGGGCTGCAGTGCCTAGTCCAGTCCTGCCAGCTGCCTTCTCTTTCCCTGTCACTCACTTCGCCGGTGCTAGTGGTCCATCTGGATGCTGCGCTGGGCACTGCACTTGTTGCCAACCGCTCAGTCGCTGTCAGCAGGCTGCCCGGGTCCCTGTTCGTCGGCCGAGCCCCTCTGGGCATGCGAGTTTCTTCCATTTTTCACGCTTCCAGTCTTGCTCGTCCTCGTCTGCTGGCCTGGTCTTGGGCTTGGGCTTGCAGCGGGCTTGGTCGTGGTCGTGGTCTTGTCATGGATCCGTTGTCATTTCTGCTTCCATTTAGGTTCTTCTACTTCTACGGTCCCACGCCTCACGGCTGGGATCGTCAAGCACGAATCACGCAGCTTCAGGCAAGCCAAGTACCCCTGTCGGTGAGCCGGTACCCCCTTGTACTGCATGTACTCCCTTCTTCTGTTGTGCGAAGTACCGTTCGTACATTCCTCTTCTTTGGTCTATCGAGAAGAAGCACAGCCAGCGAGGATTGCATATTCTGCGGATTGCGGCTTACATACATTACACTACTCGCGGACATGCATGGATGAGGATTTCCCTTCTCCCCTCGGCACTGCCGCTTACCGTGATCTGTTGTTACTTACACTGCCTTGCCTGGTTTCCCATCTGCTATCGAGAGAAAACCTCAGCGAACTCACTTTTCTTGCTCCTTACTTTCTTGTTGCTTGCCGATCTGAGCTTTCTCAGTCACACGCGGCATTGAGCAAACATTTTTCCTGTTTTTTTTCCTCAACTGCGCTTCTTATCCTCGGCTCGTCGTTTTCACTCATACAAACCTTTTTCCCGTTTCGTGCTGCTGAACGTGCGGCCTGTTCTAATTATTGTGGCCCCCACCTTTTGCTGCTTGTTTCCTTGCACTCCTCGATTTTCCCTCCTCGCTCGCCCAAATCTCCTCCAGCTCTCGACTTTGCATCCCAGACTGCTCGCCAGTCTGCATGCGCCGGCCATGGGCGGCAGCTAATGCGTCACAGGTCCCAGCGTTGTCCTCGGCTTGCTGAGTCTGCCATCAACTTGGAGCTGCAGAAGAATCCTTCGTGACAGTGTAGACGTGTAAACTACATCCGATCCGTGGGCCGGCACGGCACTCGTCAGCCACGCAGCATCTCAGCAACGCAGCAGCAGCGGGATATGTTCCCAGCTCGGTCTTGGGCTTCCTTGTCTGGTTGACACGGACAGAGAGACAAAAACAGCAACACAGATACACAGATCGCCCCAGATCACAGATCTCCATCTCGGGACGCAGCACCGGGCACCCTCGGTTCTCTCTTGACTCGATCCGACATCTGTCGTGCAGTATCCGCACGGCTCTAACTTCGCTCTAGCCTACTCCAGACAGCAGAAGAGATAGACAGATAGGGACCAGGGACCGGAAAACACAAAATGGGAGCTTTGCTCTAACAGGTGCGTCATCAATAGGACTTTGTCGAGCCCTCGCCGCCCTCTGCCCCCGGGCTGGAGTACCTCGAAATACCGGCTCCAACTGACATGTGGTGCGTCAACGGCCCCTTTCCTAATTGGTCTATTGGTCTCTTTTTTGTCTGCCCTCGGTCACCCATCTGCACATTGCGTCCCCGTTTTTCCCATCCCCCGGTTTCCCATGGCCCATGCCCATTCAGCATTCCCCATCCCATTTCCTTATCCCTCGCCCACACCCAAAACATACACCCCCATCCTCCATCTTAGATACACCCTGGAAGCGCTGGCAGCATTGGCAGCCTGGCAACCCGGGAGCCAGCCAGAGAAACTGCCCAGTGACAGGGCTGGCTGCTTGGATGACTAGCTGACTGGCGGTCTTTTCGAACGCCATGGGTCACTCATCCGTGTTTCGATACTTTTACCAGGCTTCCGTCCCCCCTTATCATCCTGCACTTGGTGCACCATTCCTCTCTTCTCACGCTGCTTCCCACGTCCTTCCCCTAGTTTTCCATCGTCTTGGGGTGCACAGCCATTGTACTCTCCGATCTGGAGGGGCGATCGGAACACCATGTGTGCTTGTCATTCACAACCTTTTTGCCAACCACCACGCTAAGCGGCCTTGGCTGGTTTTGTGTTTCCCCTCCTGTCAATCCGGATTTCGGATTGTTTTTTTTTCTGAGATTTCGACCGCTGCCGGGGGCGCATGCTGAGATCGCACTCACTCCCCATTGCTGGATCGCTGAAATCAAGTCTGGTGGTGCGTCTGTGCAGCTTATTCCCCCCCCCCTGTCCTTCTCCACTCAACTCTTTCTCGCGTCGTCCTGCTCACTCTCTCTGCCGATCGCCAGCGGCGCGTGAGACATGCAGTTCTCGCTTCGGTAGTAGCATGTGCTACGTCCGGATCAGTCGGTCGTGGTCTATGAGTTCCAGGGTCATTGGGCCATTGGGTTCCTGATCCATAAGCCATGATCCGTGATCTATCGAGATAGCGAGACCTGCTGGTTTCCTCCGCGCGCTGTTGCCGCACGCACAATACGCCACGCCTTTCTTTCTCATTCCTCAAAGTGTTTCTTCAGCGCTGGCCAGTTGGTTAGCACCGGGAAGAGGCAAAAGCCTGCTTCTAGGAGCTAAGAGGTTAATACGGGTGCTGCTTGCTGCTTGCTGCTGCGACACCCCCCTCACACCCTCCTCTGCTCTCTGCAAAACACACCTGTGTGCTGGTATGACGCCGTACGCCGGTCGTACAACCAGCTCCTGGTGTTACACAAGGCCGGTCGGCATAGGTGCACAGCGTTGAGCGAGCGCCAGACGAGAGAGGCCCGCAGCCTAACGGACGCCTGCCTACCTAACGCTGCCTACACTGCGGATTACTACCCCCCCCCCCTGCCCCCTTGGCCCTCCCCCTTCTTGATCCCTCCCCGTCCCCCGTCCCTCGTCCTCCTCTTCCCCCCCCTCCCGCCACACCAGTATCTTCACAGTCTGTAGTCTACAGTCTGCACTCTGGCCGGCTGCTAGCTAACAGTTGCTGCTGCCATTACCCACTCTATTATCTGCTACTGTCTGCTACCTGTTACCTATCACGACGTACTTTATTCCTTGTCCCCCTACATACCCCCTGCTCTGTCCTAGCCAAGCTACCTACTACACACAGCACACAGCACACAGCTGCCGCCGGCGCCGCGTGGCCGTCCGTTAGCTAACCTGGAAGCTCCCGTACAGCTTTACGCAGGGCTCATCCAGTACCTTGTCGACCTTATCCGTAGACTCAACGGCCCAGCCATCCCCGTTCTTGAACTTGCTTCCTCCAGCCCATCCTCAGCCGCCCGTGACGCCGTACACCCCCGAGGGTAGTCAGTTTTATACGTCCGCGCCGCCCATCTTTCCCAGTCTTGACGTCAGGCCTCGACTAGGCTCCAAGTAGGTCGAACCTGGTAGCTTATTCATCTTATATTTAGCTCCTCTTGCTGTCACAGTTTCCCCCCTCTTCCCACTTGACACTGTTTCTTGCTTTGTTCAACCTGATATCCATTCACACCTCATCCCATCGTCAAACATGACCTCGCCATCCTATGGCGTACCCGTACTTCGCAAGCGTCCCGAGTACTTACAGCTATAGTAGTAGCACATCCGGCCAGGGCATGGCACATGCCCATAGGACGGCCCTGCCGCATCCCGCACCTCACCTGAGCGCCCGAGACCTCTACTCGACCGCCACGCCTGCCTTTAGGAGACCAGATCACCTGCCACGATCGCCGTCGTTCGGAGCTATCCGACGCCACAACGCTCTCTCGCCCATGAGCACGCAGTACGGTTCGCTCAAGATGGAGTCGGGCTACCACCATCATGGGTCCAAGACCCAGCCTAGTATACCCCCTCTGATTTCAATGACCAACTGTGGTCAGCTCGTGTACAGCGACGGCACGCCAATTAAGCCCGAGATCAGCGGCATCATCGACAAAGGCTTCTTCATTGCTGACAACGAATGGACGTGCTACCGGCGCAACTACTTCTCATGCGTCTGTTCGTTCACCCTCCAACCACTTCTACCCCAAACGCCAATACAATTCCAACCCAACAACTCCAACCAGAGCTACACAGTGCATGGCTTTGCTATGTGTATCTCGGCCGTCGTCTCTGACAACGAGTCTCACACCATCGAACTGGTCCAGCACACCCCCAAGCGCGACAAGGGTCCCATCGCGAAGCCCGATAAGATCCGGCTGAGTCCCAAGCCTCCCCAGCCCCATCACCCGCTCTCTGGTATCTATGACTCTGGCAGCCTTGCCTCCTCCCGCTATGATCCCCAGACGACTTCTGCCCCCGGATCGACCGCCCTGTATGGCCAGTCCCAGCAGACCTCTGCGCCGACCGAGCATACCTTCGAGCGGATCCAGTTCAAGCAGGCTACCGCCAACAACGGCAAACGCCGCGCAGCCCAGCAGTATTACCACCTCATCGTCGAGTTGTGGGCTGATATCGGCATCCAGCAGGGCTCAGACCCCTGGATCAAGGTCGCCTACCGCAAGTCGGCGAAGATGATTGTTCGTGGCCGAAGCCCAGGCCACTACCAGTCCGAGAGGAGAGGAAGCAACTCATCTGGTCATGGGGCCGGTGGTGCTGGGGGTGCAGGCGCCCTCGGCGGGGCTGCCCCAGGCGGCTACGGCGCTCTGCTGGGCCCGGGGGATTACACCAGCTCAGGGCTCGCCCCCTACGGTGGTTCAGCATACGACCCCCGTTCTGGTGCATACACCCGACACCATCACGACCTGACCATGACAGGCACAGACCCAATGATGTCCGCCGAAGACGTCAAGTCCATCACCGAGGCAAAGGGCTACCAATACTACGCCAGCACAATCTACGAAAACCCCGCCGCTGAAGGCCATGCTGATACCAGGCATCACACACACAGCCACCACCAACCGCCCCAAGGCCAGGTTGAGCTCTTCTCTCATTCGCGAAACGACACCGATTCGATTGGCAGCACCTCTGGCGCTGCCTTCGATCCAACAAAGATTAAGCCCGACCCTACCCCGTCATCCTCAACAGCCGATACCACCTCAACCCTCCCGGCCAGCTCCGCCTCGGGACCAAGTAGCTCCCTACCCAGTCTGTTCAGCAGCTACAACTCGTCGAACGGGACCAGCAGCAGCTACTATTCCGCTTCGCCGGCGGGACAGAGGTGTGGAAGGTTTGAGAGTAAGCCGACTAGTGTGGGGCAGTATCCGGGTCATCATTATGGGACGGGAAGTGTGGGGGTGCATCATCATCATAGTGGACATCATGGGGCTCATCATGGGGGACATCATCTGCCGGTTATTGCTGCGCCGGGTGGGGGGATGAGTTTGACGTAACTGGGATGAGGTATCGTAGTGTTAGGGATTGTTGTGCGGGTTGATGATGAAAGAGTGTAGGCTTGGGTAGATTGTGATGGGGAGAGAGTGTGGAGTGGTCGTTGTTGAGTTGAGTTGAGTCTTCGAGATTTCCCGTTTCTCTCTTGCTTTCGATTGCTTGTGTTTCTTCTTTACTTATACTGTTATCTCATCCGCTTTTTGATCTTGGATTGGCTTGGTTAGGTTCGGCTTGGTTGTCTTTGTCGCTTCTATATTTGTCTGCTGGGCTGGGACATGAGCACCAAGGAAATGACCAAAGGCGCGTGGGAGAATGGGACTCAGGCAGCACACTACTACCATCTACTATTTACCTACCTACACCACATGACAAACACACACATTGCTTGACCACTTGACAGCACTCGTATGGAAAGGGAAATGGATTGGATCGGATTGGATTGGATGGAATAGGGAACTGGCGTATGGACAAAAGAGAGGGATATGCAAAAATGGAACCTTTGTGTTTTCTATTCTCGATGGATTTCTGTGGTCTTCTCTCATCTCTTTATTTGAGACTTTTATCTACCTATCCATCTCGATTACCACTATTATTCTCTTCATCACCGTCGTTTTTGGTACTGAGCATGCTAGCTCTGCCCTGGCCTTGCATCCATAGAAAGCCTGCCGCTTTCTCTGCTGCCTTAACTCCACGATATACTCCGAGAAGAAGCATCTAAAGCATGGCCCATTGACAAAATTTGAGGGTAACAAACATGCCTGGACACTCAAAAGACGGACTACCCACATCTACATCTTCCACATCCATGGAGCAACGGCGTAACATCTTTTACGCTATATTACGCCGAAGGAAGGAATGAACGAACGAAACTAGTTGAGACAATACCAGCCATGATCGGATATGGACTAAGAGGGAGGGTAGGACCACACACCCCCAAAATTTTGGACTTCCTGGAAGGATATAACTATGGACAGAAAAGGGTGTTGGGAGTTCTAGGACTTTCCTTGGCTTTCTCTTGGTTGGTTTGAGAGGGTCGCATGAAGAAAAGCACGGTAGGAGGGAGGGCGAGATCTGGTCTGTTGGGTATGTTGGTTGGGCTGCACGATTGAGGAAGGGATCTGGCCTCGTTACCACTGGCTCTCGGAAGGGTTTCCTTTCTTTCATGGTTTTTTGACGTTCTCATCAGCTAACTCCTACCATAAATGCCAACAACCTTATCTCTCTCCTTTTTTCCTTTCCTCATCCGGCGTCATACTGCTCCTACCCTTTTGCCCTTCTTGTTCTTTGACATTCCTGAAACGGATTTGGGTGGGACATTATCTCAAAAAAAATAAAATAAAACTAAAACGTTATTCTCTCTTGAACTGACCACATGGGATCGGATTGGATGGATGGACGGATCGGTATGGTCATGGATTGATGGATGGGCAACAGGTTGGGCCACTGTTATCTACGCTATTATGCAATGTTACGAACATCTTTCCCTAAGTATTACACTACTTCATAAGGCATCTGCAGGAATACCCTGTGCATTTAGGCTTGGCTATGTTTCCCGGTTTATTCTGGCTTCATGTGTCATTATCTTCCTTGTCTTCTTTTAACATTTTCTCGTCGTTTCATATTCATTTACCAACGTTGGTTTACCACACAGTACTTTTTCCTCAACACTCCCCTTTATCTCCCTCCTCTCGGACAAGCCTATGTTACCGGGCTAACAAACTAACGAATCCATAGGTGAATGTATGAGAGTGGAACATCTTTTGGACAATTCCGGGTAGATAGATAATTGTTTTTATTGAGATTCAAGGATGGAATCATGGCAGGCCTTACTCATAAGTTTTACGATGTTTTGTTCTTTCGTCGATGTGTGTTGCAATGAATCACGTAGACTTCTGGTTATGTATTTGTCTCGCAAAAACAAACATTATCATGGCCATTTTCCAGACTTCTCCTGTGATATTCCTTCTGTTGGCAGGTCTCACACTGCCATTGGACACTACAACGAACGAAACCTCCATCAGATGTTGTGCCCCCTTGACTTGTCCAAAGTGGGTGAGACACAAAAAAAGGACCAGCCGTTGTACGACACAAGCCTTCGGGAAGGGCACCCGAACCACCCTTTTCCCTTCCCCAACCTCTTCCTTTGTCGTACATATTGGGCCTGACGTACCCATCGACATTATCAAGGCATGGTCATGTTGCTGTCAACTGCCGGGAATCCCGACACTCCCAGTGCTGGCTGTTCACCGACTACCCATTTAGGCTGTCCAGATCCTTTGGTTTCTGGCTGGGTTGTATGGTTGACAAACATGACATGCAAAGACCTAAATCATTCCGAACATTTTGTTCATTATGTGGTATGTTATGCATGGTTTTGCTGTGTCGTCTGCGTACCAAACATCGGCTGTGAACGGTAGGACGGGTGGAGGTGGGATCCTGCTAGAAGAATGTTACACAACTACCCATTACGACAACAATCATACAACAGTAAGTAGAGGCAACAATTACAACAAAAGGCAACTGACCAGTTCTCCGGACATACTGGTCTATCAGCAGAGAGCTAAACGCCTATATGCCGGTAGACTACCTCTTTCTTCATTATCCAAGTCAGCCAGCCAGCCTAAGCAAGTAGACAGTTACCTCCTACACCACTGTAGCCTCGCCAGGTCGGGTCGGAGAATTTTCTAGCATCCTTTGTTGTGGTCGGTAGGTTGGTTATCTACGGCGATAAGCTGCTTACCAGCACTCTGGCAGCAGGAGAGAATGCCTGAGAGCGGACCGGATAGGCAAGTATATGGATGGATGATGGGTGGTTGGAGGCATCCTTCTCGCACCGCGTCACACCGCACCTTGCGACAAACACCAGGTAGACTACCTCTCCTCTCGCACACTCGGCGCTCCAAGGAGACTGTAAGGGCTAGGTAGCACAAGATAGACGCGCTTCACAAGGAGCTTGGCTAACCCGGTAATGGCCTCGTCCCGTTAAGGGGCCGACTTCCGGTTATGCGGCTTTCCATCTCGAATATATATCAACTGAAGCACAGTCCAGTGCTGATGCCTAATGCTCAGGAAAAGGTAAAACTGGTGCAATTCCCGAGCCTTCTCCCTTCCAAATCTGCATATCCAACTCAGCAGAGAGCCTACCTTAAGGCTTGTTACTGCACAGTAACTCTCCCTGTTTCTTGCTTGTTCTGCAACTGCCCAGCACAGCACAACAATACTACAGCCGACAATCGTGTCAGCAACTGACGTCTCATTCGGCCTAGGCATGCTCATCTACCGGAACGGAACCGCTTGCCTGTTTCTCACTCCCCACTTTTAATCAGTCCTTGGCCATTGTCCCCATTGTTGGCAGTGGCATCGTGAGGTAGCAGTGCCCCAGTCCCAGGGCCGGCCTCCGTTCCGCGGCTGCGCTACTGCACGGGGCCGGCGTAACACCGCCCACCCACTTGCCGCCAAGCCGAGCCCTGCCATGACATGGCACAGCAGCCATGAGCCGTCTATGGGATCTGGGCACGGTAGATGAGGATGAGTAAGAGTGTAGCTTGATGGCCGGTGAGGAAAGTTAATGTTTGGTTCTGCTGACAATGCTTACCCAGAGGGTCAACGGCAAAGTGTCCATCTTTGGCAATGCATCAGCTCGATGCCATCCGAGGCCCTCTCAAGAAATCGTCAGCAGCTTGGAGCCCCAGTGGAATTGTTAACGAGCTGCAACTTAGTGCATAGCAGCTCCACGGACGGCGGTACCAACAGCAAGGCAAAGTACCACACGTACCCATGAGGGTACAACTCTGTACCTGGTGCTAACCCTAACCAAACCAGTACTTGCTCCCATGGGCCAGGGCCCAGGTGCAAATTATCACCAAATAAATCTCAAATGAACCCCCTCAAGATAAATAGCCAGCTCTTGCACATGAGAAGACAAGCAAGAATGCCGGCTACCAACGGAGAAGCAGCTGCTGTCCGGCTTCCCCCCCCCCCCAACAAAACAGTTCAACGTCCTGAAACTTCCCTTACAAAAAACTTGTTAAGTCTCCTGGATCGGACCGAGTGTCACTTCACCACACAGTGTCCGCGTCGACTCGGCGGTTGATCCACTCAGGTCCACGCACACACAGAAGAGAAAGAATCCAGAAAAGTAACTAGTAGAAAAGGCCATCTAGCGTCCCGCTGCGATGCGCTTGTCACACCGCCTATCCGTCGTCGCCTACCGACCGAAAGGTTCCGAGCTGCGCTGTGCCATCGATGACTTGCATAACGCAGTCTGCCTTGCCACTCTGCCAGCCAGGTTTGTGCCGAGAGACGGTTGATCAACACCATGTTTTTTGGAGTTGCCATTTTCGAAGGGACTGAAACGAAATTGCATTTCCAATTCCGTTCCCCAGAAATGATATTTCTCTCTTCATCAAACAACGAGGGATGAGACGTCGCGCATAGGAAGATGGCACATGCGACGGTGGAGTAGGCAGCATATGTTTCTAACATCTAGAACTCCATCCTGGTGGATGCCGAGCGGCGTAGTTTGGAGCTTTGCGGAAGGCTGGCTCAAAATATTGCCCGATTGCGGCACAAACAAGGCGTCTCGGAAACCTTGTTTACTATTCTTGCATTCGCAATCATCATTTGAAAAGTTTAACGGTCAACAATCTGGCGCATATCCTCTGGGCAGTACAGTCTGAGGGCAGCGTCGACGCGAGGCGCGTGAGCTCCTGGTCATATCTAGCGCTGCGGTGCTGACAGATCTGATCTGGTCGGATTTCCAGCTTTATGGAGTGGAGGGAAACACAGCATCTCCCGGCATCTCGTGGGCCCATCCATCGATCGAAAGTTATTGTTGCTCAGCATCCCCAAGATGCGATCCTCGAATTGACATCATAGGACTACGCGCCGAGTCCGACCAACCATACAGCCCGCTCCGATGTCTCGTGGCTGGACTGCCGTGCCGAAACCCTGCTCCGTTTTGCCAACTACTACCCAAGCCGGGCAACATCATCCATTTCGTAGAGCCTTAAGAGCACGTTAGGGATACGGCACTAGCAGTGCCGTTCCGTTGAGTATGACGGGTCGTTCAAATAAGCTTTTCGGAAGTCAAGTCCGTCACCGACGCTAGCGTTAGCGGCTCGACGATCAACATCACCAAGCAGGCCTCCCTTGCCTTTGGTGGGCCCCACTTAACAACATCCTCTCTTCGGGCCAAGGGGCCTTCACCCAAGGTCTAAAACGCTGCCGAGCTCTTTGTTTGTTAAGGATCACATTGTGACGCCGATTTCGATCTGAATACTCTGTATGATCGTCATAATTTAGCAGGATGCGTTTATCCCATCCGGCTTGGCAGAGATACGCCACGATTGGCCGGTCAGCGACGACCCAACATTTTGATCCGCAGTTGTCTATTCTGCGGGGGCCAAAATGGGACACATTTTGCGAGTTTTGACTTGTTAGTCCAGGGCAGATAATTGAGATGCTGTTACGGACGAGAAAATCCTCACATATCTTGTGCCGGCTATGGCCTGTAGGATCCTTCCCGCCACCAGCCCCTTGTACCACACACATCTGCGGGCTCCCGATACAGCGTCGTTGCGGATGCAGCGTCCTTTAAGGACGTCTCTCAGTCAGTAGCGCGCAAGTCTTCTGATTCCCCAGTTTTTTTTTCGAGCGGATGTGGAAGAAAATAATCTGCAACTGATGTTCGGTGTACTCTGTCCGAGTCAGCCACTCCGCATCCTGGTCAGCGAACCACAGAGAACAGTGTGCAGAAGCTTCTCTCTCTCTAAGTGGTTCGTCACCTGTCACACCCGCGTTGCCGGACCGTCACGCCCTGTTGTTGATCCTCCTTGAATCGACTGTGTTGGCGCAGTCTTGTTGTCGGTCCTTTCGACCGCGCGTGGCCTAATGTCACGAGCCATTGGGCCAAGTTGTGGCTTCATCCTTCGCATCTTGATAGTGCTTCTATAGCGACGCTGTCACAGACACAAGTGTGTATCGCGCAATCCACGAATGACCGGATAAGCCAGAAAGGAAATGCGGCAGATGTGATTTCGGGATCGGATACCGTCCTGATTAAAGGAGAAAACAACCTCTTCATGATGCATTCCCCACCTTTCTTGTATATGAAATCAGACCGGTTCCGAAGAAAGCGGGTCAGGCGGATGGCTGAGCAATGATCGACGGTCAGGTTTTGGAGAGAGTCGACTAGGTTGATCACAGGATGCTGGCAGACTTCGAATCAAAGAGGAGACTTAGGTTTGTGATCTGACTGATCACTTTGCTTTTTTACATGTCCCTCCCTACCCTTTAGTTTCAGTCCAGTCTTCTCGAATTAATCCTCCCACACCGTTCCGATGGTTACACAGCAGGCAGGCGCCGTTGGTTTTGCTTCTCTTCTCACCGGTCAAGCCATCCGTGCGCCTCAGCCTTACTGGCAGGCAAACTTGCGCGGCACCGCCTTACCAGCTGGCTGGTTCGAAGCCGCTACTGCGGCTGATTATCGAGTGCGGAAAATCGCTTGATCTAGATGTTGGCGATGTTTGTTGTTTGTAAGCGCTAATGGTAGCTAACTGAGAATAATGCCTCGATGACTCCGTCGCTTAAAGTGACTGCGGTGTATTATGCTAATGGTCCTTCTTTTTATCCCATATCTGGTAACTACCTTGTGGTCGGGATGTCAGTGTGGAAGTGTGGACCGTTATTTTTATTGGGGGATTGGCATTTCCAAACGATCGCCGGGACGCAGGCCATCAATCAAGTGTGCGAAAAGAAAGTTCTTTTTTGGGGGGGGAGGGGGGCAAAGAACAGAAAAGAACAGCCGTCGCCATTATCCAACCCAGGGGAAAGGGCCAAACTTCCCGCGGCGGGTGGAATGACGCCCCCTACTAAGATGAAACCCTGTAGCCGTGGGATTCTATCGCTCATCCTCACAGGTAGGCTAACTCCCCCTACCGCTTGGCCATTTAGTGGGAAGGGGTGGTTGTCGGAAGACGCTGTGCTGGAAGTAGTATGTATAGTTTGGAAGGCGTGTTGGACGTCTGTATGGGGGTCGGGTTCTTTGTCAGGATGGGATGATGTGAACTTGGGCCGGGTCGACTCGACAACAGTGGTTGATCAGCACTCAGATGAGAGAGGACTCTTGACCAAGGTGATAACATGAGAATAGCAATTCAGGAGCGTTGGTAATCGAAGGGAAATTTGAACTGGATGAACCTACGGGGAGCCAAAGGTGGCCGAGTAGGTTACGACATTCTGAAGGCTCTAAAGGAGAGAAAGGCGAAGCAGGGAAGACACGACGACTTGATAACGGTTATGAAAATAAGCTAGTCATGCAGCGAGAACATGGACGTTAGGCATCATACATCATTTTATTGCGCGTCATGTTCTCAAGACTGTTGTCTGTGTACTAAAGCATGATAAATCAGGAAAGCACCCCATAATCCAAATGAACTCAATAACCTCCCATCAGCGGCAGCGACGTCGGCCAGGGCAAACATGTTGTCATCCAATCTCAACTGCTCGATGTTCCAGTTGGCATATAAGAATGGACCACGATGCGGACCATGTTTGGGACGTTCGAAACCTGCTGTGCATTGTTGCATGACACTGGTTGCTGACCTTAGTCCTGTCATCCTTTAGAGTTCGGAAGATCTCTAATATTGATCCCTCAGGTTGTGTGTTTTCCCTAAGGTCTCGACTAGCCTTGATTGGACGTAGAGTATGGTCGGAGGGGAGAGTGAGTGTTGAATGCCCCTCAGATTGTGGCTAGTCGGTGGAGTTGAGTTGGTCCCTGGGAGCTGGGGAGCATCAGCAGGCGGTTCCAACATTAGAAACCTGAACATCCTGATTTCGGTAATCTTCCAGGAACATACCTCCCTGCCCCGAAGGTTCCTTGTACTCGCTGCGGCCGGAGTCACACTGGGCTCTTATAACGTAAGAATGTCATATTCCCCATTTTCGCCCATCAACTATCCTTTCACCCCCTCTTCTCCTCCCTCTCCCTTAAAACCCTCTCCACATCCCCCCTCGTGATCATCCCCCCCTCACTAGTCGGCACCTCTACCATCAACCGTTCCCTCGCCCAGCCCTCTACACTCCTCATCCCCACCACCAAAAACCCCAGCTCCTCCCTCTCCACATCAAACACCTCCCACCACTCACACTCAGGCATCTTTGCCCCCAAGTCTCTCGCCGCGCAATATATTGCCGCGACGGCCAGTGCATGCGGCTGGTGTGTGGTATACAACAGCTGGGGGGACAGCAACGCGGTGTTGAGATACGCTATCGTCCGTCGGGCAAGGGCTTCACGGCGCGGGTGACAGAAGAAGTCTAATGACTGCAGGTATGTGATGGCGAGGGGATGAGGAAGGGCGACGTGGGTGTTGAAGGAGAGGGCAGCGAGGATGCGCGATTCAAGGGTCAGGAGGCGCGGGCGGAAGGATTGGTAGTGGGATTCGGGCGGGGGGACGTATTTAGGGAGGTTTTGTAATTGTTGAGTTCGGAAGAACGGTGAGGATTTGGATAGGAGGTAGGAGTAGATGGCGGAGAGCTCGCGCGGGGAGCGCGGGTGTGAGGAAAGCTTCGCTGTGAGGTAGAGGATTGCGGCGGAGACGTCCTGGGAACGGTTAGCCTCTGGGCTAGGGGGCAGGAGGGGGAGGAGGGTGCGTACGCTGAACTCGTCAGCCATCATGTTCTCGACTAGCCAGTAGCGCGCTAGAAGGACATTGGCTTGTGCTGTGACGGATTGAGGAAGTTCAAGGAGGATGCCGGCGGCTTGGGTCAGGGACTGGGTAGCGAAGAAGATGGCATCTTGAATTTCGATCGGCAGCGCGCCGACCGAGCGCCGCTGGAACAGTTGCTCTGATGTGACGAGGGGGTTCGCTAGGAGGGACATTTTAGGTATCCTTGACAATTGGCTTAATTGGTCGGTGAATTGTGTGGAATTATGGTGGTGATGACGTTGAGTTGGTCGCAGCTGTGCTGTCGAGCCGCTTGTTTTCTTGAGCGTCGCGAGTTGTGGTGGATACATACGCCCACCCGGGGGTTATGTCAGGGTTAGGGTTTTGTAAGACATTGCCGCTGTCAACACGCAACAAAAGATTATGATATCGTGGAGGAGAGATCTGACTTGAGTGATTCGCGTTTGAATTCCCAGTCTGGCAGTACGTTTTATGTCTCTGTCATACGAAAACGGGTGCTACTTTGTAGATCTTACCGTCAGGCTTTACCTGAATGGAGGGATCGTCTAGCGGCCTTCGTCTCCAGAGCGCAGAGCACTTCTCCATTAGAGAACCGCCTGACCTTGCTATTTATAATTATACACGGACCTTCTGAATCGAGTTTGATTGGGCTCGAGGGTGAATTTGAGTATCCAGATCAGTAGCCCAGCTTCACTAGCATATTCTATATGCTGGACAATGCTGATGAAAAGGCTCACAACCAGCAAGCTCATCTTGGACCGATATCCGACTACCACAGGCAGCATCCTAAGCACAGTAGAGATAGCATCGGTTCAACTTCAAGATAGTTCAGGTAGGTGTTTCTACGCCTTAGGATTATGAAACAATCACTGTTTGTCATCGACGCCAAGATCTGAGAAGAGCAAACGAGCTGTTGCCACAGACACGCGTTACGCGATTGGCGGGGCTATTAATCCTCAAATGAGCTGTTGAGCAAGGACACAGCGAAACAGCTGACTTCGAACAACTGTAGGAGCCTCTCAATGCTCTGATTTTGGTATTTGTTTACCAAGTCAGGTAGAATAGCCACCACAACAAAACCAACAGTTTGGGGCTCCCAGAAGGTTCCGGTTTCCGAAGGCTTAAGCTGTTGAGATCACGGCGCTCACCGAGATCTTGGTGGGGCAGTGCCAAGAGATCGCAATTGCAGGCCTCAGCAGGCAACAACCCCACGATCGGGGGCTGATACAGGGTTCGCCGGCAGTCACGGGATGTCGCGTAGTTCCCAAATCGCGTCCCCCCGCGCATACAATTGCAGACTTCGCATACTTTGCCCTCCAATTGACCAATTTTTCCACAATTTGACTGTTTATTTTTTTCCTTTCCTCTTACAACACTGTTCAACTACAACATTGAAAAAAACGCCACCTTTGTCTTCGCCACTTAAATAGTGCTCACAGCTCCCATGACCTGACGCGTCGAGCTTGTACGAAATCGCCCCACCCGATCCCTTGGAATTTTGGCCGCTCCATTGGGTCTAGGGTCTCGTTGCGACCGTCGCTGTGAGTTACCCCGCATAAGCCGGGATAACCAAGCAGCGAATCGCCGTTTTATACCCTCGACTGAGGCATCCATCGGCATTGTCACCGCCAGCATCGGCCACTGACGTCACGTCGGGAATGAAACAAGAGCCCGTGGGCAGCCCGGGTTTGGGTCATAGTCAGGCCCAGCCAGCTGCTGCCGCTAGCTACGGCGCCGCGCCTGCCCCTCCGGCCGAAGTCGAGCCCGGGGGTGTCGCCGCGGGCGAAAACCCCACGGCCATCCGCTTCCTCCAGCGGCTGGTCGAACTGAACTCGGAGGATACGGCGTCCCTGGAAAAGGGCGTCAGGGTTCTGAAGAACCTTAAGGTGTCTCTGCAGCTGTCCAACTGCAACAACACGCAGGCCCCGCACTGGCTAGAGTCCATCGACCGGCTCCTGAACACTGTGAGCCAACCTGCACCATTGTTGGTGTGGTCGGCAACACTGGCGCTGGCAAGTCTTCGGTCATTAGCGCCCTCTTAGACGAGGAGCGGTAAGTGCCGCTTTGTCTCCAAGTAAACCTATGCTTGTGCCATACGCAAGGGCGTAAATAATAAGATCCGGGTATTTGGCTTTTAATTTCTAATAGCCTCTAATAATCTTATTGTACTATACGCAGTTATGGCTATTGCTATTGGTACTCCAAAGAAGCGTTGAATTAAATATGACCTGAATCCTTACTGTGTGAATGTATGTAAAAACCTATTTTTTGCACTTCGACATGAAGTATGTTTAAGGGTTTTACTAATAGTTATGTTAAAACAAGATTCAGCGTCACAAAACCCTGTGACATAATAGGGGGTTTAATTTATAACCACTTTCAACGATCCAGACAGACCTCCTGAGATGGGTTCCAGAGTTGCCAGGCTCTTATATGCTCTTGATCATTTTGTTCGTACTACCCGAACCTTTGCTTGAGAAAGTTTCACCGTGAGGCTACGACGAAAGCGCCTGAGCGTGGCTTCAGTAGACAGATGCTAACCTCCACACCACAGGCCCCGGTCTCTTATGCCCGCATGAAGATGATTATGATTAATCACGTCGAGGTCAAGCGCCACACCATGTTCCAGCAAGCAACCGACTCGGTGAAGCTTCACCTAGAGGAGCTCACAAAGCGCATCGAAACAGAAGCCCTCTCAGTCTCTGGCACGCGACTACCTGTCTGTTCTCGTCGGCGTGGACATCCGCTCTCTGGACATGATTGGAGGTTCCCCCCTCCCCCCCGCGAGGAACTCTTACTTCTCCAGGAAATGAAGCCCCTGGTCGAGTGTGTCGATGAAGCGTTTAGAGAGCATGTTTGGGCGTCGTCCCGCTAGTCTCATTAAGAATGAGACAGAGGAGGATCCCGATGTGCGCGCTATGTTGGATGCGATGATCGTGATGATAGTGATGATAGACTTTGCCGATGATGAAGAACTGCTCGTTAAGAATTAGCCTGCTTATTTCGAGATGGTTAATGCCACTCTGGAGGATGTGCAGCTGGTTGTCGTTAAGAACCAGCCTATTGATGCGCGACATGTTTAATGCTAGGAATGTCGACCAGCATCGGGGTCTTGATGGAGAGCATGCAGTTGGCGTCTTTGCCTCTGGCGTGGAGCCTGAATCGGATAATGAGCAGGATCCATGAGCCGTATTGTTGAGATGGAGCAGGTCTGATTTGCTTTGATCATGGGTTCGGCTGCGGCGTTGGGCTTCTGATTGTAGAGGGTCTTGTTCGGATGGGTGTTATGGGTAACTTGGTTCCGGTGGGGTGAGGATTGTCTATTTGTTGGTGTAGCTTTACTTTACGGATTATTTGGCGTGTGAAGATGATTTGCGCGTCTATATTGCCCGAGTTAGTTGGGTCATTGTTGCTACCACTTTGTAGAATTTGTAGCTAAAGCATATATCCTGATGTAAATACAACTTTATGAAATATAGTACACCTGGTACCTACCCCTCTCGGCGAAAGTGATGCCGGTGGTGATGGCGGGGTACAAAAGTGGATCCACTTTTTTTTGTTTTATTTTTCGTGGTGCACTCCACTTTGAACTTCACTCACTCATCTCACTCATCAATGCTCATCTCTGAGCTTTCAGAAGCTTGAAGCTAGCTAGCTCACACAATTGCTTGAGCTAGCGATAAATATTTTGAGAGAAGCATAATTGGACCCTGCCAGACCGCATTCTCTCCACCGACACGCATCGAATCACACAGAATCTGAGCGATTTCACTTTTTTTTCCACCCACCACAACGCATCTCAACTTTCACCTCAATTCCCAAAACACCTCCAAAATGTCCGACAAAGTCGAAGAAGTCACAAAAGATACTCAGTCCCTCAATATCAACTCCAATCCCCCCAAACCCCACAACGACGATGACGACCTCCCAACCTACGGCCCCCAGCGCCCCGCCCCAATTCCCGGCCTCTCTCCCCCGAAATCAGTCGAGGAAACGGCCGAGGAGCTCTCCAAGCATCCTCTTTTCATGACCTCCTTGGACGAGGGCGCTACCGAAGAAAATGAGCAGCTCGCTGCGCTGCAGGCGCTAGCGTATGAGGGTACGCCCCTCGAGAACGCAGCCAACTTCAAGGAGCAGGGGAATGAATGTTTTAGGGAGAAGAAGTGGGGGGATGCGAGGGAGTATTATGGGAAGGGGGTTGCCATTTTGGCGCAGGAGGAGAGGAGGCGGCAGAGGGGGGAGAAGAGGAAGGTGAAGAAGGAGGGGACTGCAAAGAAAGGAGAAGAAGAAGAATGGGAAGAGGTGGAGGAGGATGAAGAGACGATTAAACAGGAACGGCAGTTACTCGAGACTCTGTATGTTAATCGGGCCGCGTGCCACTTGGTACTGAAGAATTATCGGAGTTGTTGGACGGATTGTGCTGCGGCGTTGAGGTTGAACCCGAAGAATATCAAGGCTTTTTATCGGAGTGCGAAGGCGTTGCTCGCTGTGGAGAGGGTCGACGAGGCGGAGGACAGTTGTCGACGCGGGCTGGAGCTGGAGCCCAACAATAAGGCCTTGTTGGAGGTTAGTAAGGAGATTGGGATTGTGAAAGAGAAGATTGAGAAGAAGCGTCGCGCCGAGGAGGAGAGGCTTTCTAAGGAAAGGAAGAAGAAGATGCTTTTGAAGACGGCGTTGCAGGCGAGGGGGATCAAGACCCGCAGCACCGGCAAGCCGCCGGACATGGAGGATGCTCGGATCCGTCTGACGCCGGATGAGCTCGATCCGGAGAGCTCGCTGGAGTTTCCAACGCTCTTGCTCTATCCGTGCCATGCGGAGAGCGATTTTATTAAGGGATTTAATGAGCGGGAGAGCTTGGAGCAGCACTTTGGGTATGTATTTCCGCTGCCGTGGGATAAGAGTGGCGAGTATGCGAGTAATACGGTCGAGTGTTATATGGAGAGTGTCAAGGGGGGGTTGGTGAAGGTGGGACGGAAGATGTCGTTGTTAGAGGTGCTGAGTTCGGGGAGCGTGGAGGTTGTGGATGAGTTGGTCAGGGTGTTTGTCGTGCCGAGGGGGAGGGCAGAGCAGTGGGTGAAGGAGTGGAAAGAGGCGAAGGCTAAGAGGGAGAGCAAGTAGAAATATTGGGGAAGGGTGGGGAAATGGAGTTGATCAGACCTGTGTTGGTGTTGTGGGAGAAGTAGGTACATACGCTCGCGTATGAGCTAGATGAGGATAGTTGTTAAATACCACTCTGCACCTTTCCAATCTGCTAACTACTCTTTTCCCGGCAAAACAACGATGAGAGCTTGATACGTAACCAGAATTGTTACGTAGATAAGCAAACAAAAAAAAACCAATGCATCAAAGAAACCCAGCAACTCTTCCCTTGCCATCAACGCCTGTTCGACTCAACACCAATGTGTTATGTAATCTCCCACTCCTTGGCCTCCATGTCCAATGTTTTTTACTCAAACAATGCCACCGTTTGTGCTATCCAATCTTATCCAATTTCTTTCTCCCATCATTTTCCACCCAAGCGTGAGCAGAATCCTAGGCCTTCAACCTCCTCCTCTTCAACTTGGTATCTGATCTGGCCATCCAGCTGCTGCTGCTCCTAGCAGACGTCGGCGTCCCGGGCCTGCTTGAAGGAGTTGGGCTCCGACAGCGCACGGAAACCGTCTTCACATCATTCTCGACTTCACTGTTGTGGTTTTGCTCTCCGTTGGATGTTGTGCCCCCAATTGCGGAGGTCTTTGAAGGGCGGTCAGCTTCCGCCCCACCCGTCACAACAACTTCATGGATACCAGAGCGGGGCTGCTTCGTTCCATCTCCTGCACATCCACTGGGTATGATTGGTGTTGTTGGCGTGGGAGCAAACCCTGTCTCGAAGGAACGAGGATTGTTGCCGTTGATGGTGTTGGTAGGAGCGGTTTCGATGGCTATTGGGGTCGAGGTGGGCGTTGAACGGGGTTGTGAACTCCTTGATAGGAATGGGGATGGGGGAGTTGAGGAATATGGACGTGGGATCTGGTTGGGCGAGCATCCAGCTGAAGGCGGTTGGTGAGAAGATCTTCCCGGCGGCGGGACGCTGGACCGGCTGTTGTTGTTTGTGGAATATGAGCCAGAATGAGTGCTTTTGTCAAGGCCTTCGCCACTCCTCCGATCGCAACCATGCAACCTCATCAGCGTCGCTGCCGCTTCACGTTCTGATTCCCTCCTCATCTCCATCTCCTCCCTGTGGATGTGATTCTCCCCCCTACCAATTCCGTCAGCACCAAGACTGTGACCGTTTACCGGTCCCTGAGTGCCCCAAGCGTCATTATTAACGGTGGCTGCGACAGCAGCAGCCACAGCCCTCCTTGCAATCTCTCTCATATCCCAAATCTCACTCATACCCATACTCATAGGGCTCTCCCTCCCTGGGACCCGAGCACTGCTGAGTGAAGACGGCGAGCCCGGCTGAGAAGATGAGGGTGACAAAGAAGTTGACGGTCTACTCGCTGGAGGAGTGACGGTAGCCGTTGCTGTGGAAAACGGGGAAGACGGGGTTAGAGTTCGAAGGGTGGTTGGTTTGGTATCTTTTTCAGTTGGAGGCTTGATAATTTGGTCTGCTGGAGGGGATCGAGACCAGGTGTTAACGGTTATGGGGTTGAAGACGTTGCTGTTCAGGTCTTGAGTTCGGGTGAGGGCAGGGGATGAGAGGTTTGGGGAGAAGGTATGAGGCTTGCTAGACCTCGTGAAAGGCTTCTTGCCTTGATGTTCCTGCTCCCCTGTATCTACATCCTCATCAAACTGCCGTTTTCTGCTTTCAAACGCCTGCTTCTCTTCCCCATGAGTCTCCCTTCGACCGTGTCGCCAAACAAAAACTACTTCTCTCTTCTCCCTCTCATCATCAATCTCCCTTCTCATCTTACCGACAGAGTTGGCTGTACTAGTTGCGTGTGTCAGACCCGTCATAAATCCACTTCTTGCGTTACCACCCCTGGGCACGGCAGACAGCCATGGGTTGGGGTTCGGGTTTGGATTGAGATTGGGGCTGGGGGTAGTGGTTGTTGGGCTGCTCACTGTTGTTGTGTTTGATGATGTAGTTGTGTTTGTAGTGAAATTTGAGCTTGAGGAGGAGGGGGAGGTGGAGGAGGAGGAGGGGGCTTGGGCGTGACTCTGTTGCTGGTGAGGATGAGGATGGTAGAGTGAAGGAGGAGCGTCTTGAGCCTGGAGCGTTCGGATGGGGGGTAGCTGTTGTTGATGCTGCTGCTGGTGCTGGTGCTGATGTTGATCTTCACGCTGCTGCTGCTGCTGCTGCTGACGATAGCGATCCTCTTCCTGGCTGCGAGAAGGTTCAGGGGGATAGTGGTACCCTCTCCAAGCCCGCTGGGTCCCAGGACCAGGACCAGGACCAGGACGCCAATGCCTTTCCCTCTGCACCATCCCAGTCGAGGACGTCAGTGGGGGGACAAGAGGGTGCGGCGGGGGCTGAGGAGTTGGCTGTGGAGGGGCATGGTTAACTGCTGTCCATCGCCGGGTAGAAGAAGGCACCGGCATAGGCGAATGCTGAGGAGGGAGACCCCTTACCCCTGCCGACGTCGGCGGAGGAGGGGGATAAACTTTTCTCGGCGCAGGGCCATACCCATGCTCGGGACCATCATCAGTGTCGTACGGGCTGGGAAGGAACTTATCCCGTTCATAGAGGTGCTGCTGATCAGACGAATAGCTGGTGTATTGCCGGAGAGAAGGGGGGGGATACCCCCGCCTTGAGTGTACTATGCGCTCGCGAACAGATCCATATCGCTGTTGAGACCTCTCCCGGGAGTGTGGAAGAGGACTGACACTCCTGCTTGGCCGTGGACTCGGCGGCAGCCTGGAAACGCTCATTCTCATACCGTAATACACCCCCTGGCCGGCTGGAACTTGCCCTTGCATTGGATGGTGTCGAGGAGGCTGATGATACCCCACAGCCTCGACCCTCATCGCCCTCGACTCGGTCGTTGCACGGTGGACAATCTCCTCAGGGATTACCATGCGTCCATAGCCAGGGGCGTTCTCGGGGATGCATTCATGTGGGAAGTGTGGGCCGAAGAGGGGGATGAGAGCCCCGGAAATGGCTGCACAAAAGGTGCGGCAGACTGCGCGGGCGCAGGAGTAGGGCATCCAGTAGCCTAAAAAAAAAAAAAAAACTACAATTTAGCATTGGATTCTGGCTGAATGGAAAGGGAAGCTTACCCTGTGCTTTGATGGACCCTCCAGTGATGCTATACGTGATGTCCTTGAGCCCAGGATTCTGGCTGAGCATCTTGGCCGGCGTGGTCTATCTACATTAGCATCGCTCAGGGGTAGGGACAGTCAAAAATAACGTACCTTGGTATACCCTCGACACTTGAAAAAAGGCGTCATCCTCACCAGCCCCACATTATAATCCCACATAACCGTATACGTCGTCTCATCGCCAGGCACCTTAAAGTCATACTGGAACACTGCTATCTGTCAGCCCCCTTTCTCCCCATTCTCTCCTTTCCCACTCTCCTCTAGTAAGTTGTTTGGCGTAACCTACCCTCAAAAAAATCCCTCCCTGTCTTAACCCCGAAGTCCTTCTTCCCGCTATTATACGGAATGCGTCGACATGTCTCCCGGATCGAGCCCAGAGGGCGCACCTGAAACCGTAACACCTCACGTCGGGCAAGCTCGTCCAGCACGTCGATGTCGAATGGGGGGAAGCGCACACGATCTTCGCGGGCTGCTGAACGGGTTGTTGGGGAGAATCGTGGGGGAGGGGGGATGGGACCACTGGGGGCCGGGGCTGAGGTTGGCGGCGGTATCGGAAGACGAGGGGGTTCTTGGGGTTGGCGTATGTGGGGAGGGTCTATTTGTGGTAGATTGGCTTCAACTAAAGCTGGGATTTGGATAGTTGATGAAGTTGCGGTTGATGTTGACGTCGATAGAACTGTGTTGCTTTGTCCGTTGTGGTTGATGCCGTCTCTCTCCTCCCCACGCCCTGAACCCGCCCCCAGCCCATCAGACTGCTGCGGACGAGCAGATGGCAGCGGAGCCCTCGCCGGCGGTGGCTCGGGGTTAAGCAAAGAAGCGACCTTCATCATTTCGATTTGATGACCTGAACGATTATGACGACAACGATGTTGTTGTTGACAGCGAATCCTCGATGAACATGTCTTGGAGAACTCAGGCTCAGATGATGTTATTGTCGATGTCCGTTGTTGGGGACAGTAGCGCAACAAACAGTTCAAGTGCAAGCCTGATCCAAAGAGCGAGGCTGCATAGAAGAGAAGAAGAAGAAAAGGAAGAGGAAAAGAGATCAAAGCTGGAGAAAGAGTCCCGTAGCAGAGATAAGGGGAGATATGTGGAATGGAGACAATGCCAAAGCAGTGTACTGGATGTGGGGACACAAGATACGGGGTAAGTGAGGCAGTTAGGAGGACAGCCAGCTACTTAGAGAGGTAACTAGCCAGAAAGGTCAGGTTGAGTTGAACAGAGGGGGGGAAGAGGGGAAGGGAAGACAAGAAATCAGAGGGTGTGTCTCGCGCGTCCTTTTCAGCTTTTCGCAAACAAGGTGCTGGGGCAAGCTAAGCTCGGCATGACCTCGCAGGTGAGTTGCTAGCTGGGAAAGGGCCCACTGCTGCAAATTGTTTTGCTCTCTCCAAGGCAAGTAAAGCTGTTTGTAGGATTCAAGGCGAGCAAGTTTGTCGTTGATGCTTCTGTTGTCGTTATTGTCCCCGCTGCCTTCGTCTCGTTGTCAAGTATCAAATCCCCTTGTCACAGACGTTGTTAGATACCAGTGTCAGGGAGCAGGTTATGAGGTCGTTTTCCCGTTGCATGTGTCTGTTGTGTGTGATCTTGTGGTAAGAGAAAGGATAACAAAAAACAACGAAGACGAGTGAGCGCGACAAGAGAGCTTCTTCCCGTCTTCTACTCGCCTTCTCTCTTTCAACCTTTGATTCGCTCACTGGGCCTGTCGTCGCCGCCGGTATGCACCAGCCTGCAGGTCCAGAGAGCAAAAAATGGATCAATGAATCAGTCGGAGAGCTACTGAATGGGATGTGACGAGACCGCCAGTTCACACTCTCCAGCTTCCGCGGGCTCTTCGACGCAGCGTCTGTCTTACTTCCTTTCCTTGTCTAGGATCCCAGGAGGAATCGACTTGCGCCGGATCCCAGATCCTGGACGAACGGACAGCGCGGGCACTATCCGTTCGTTTGACCCTGGAATCTTTTTGTCTTGCCTTGTCTGGTCTGTTTTGTCTCGCGGTCACAGGTTCTGTCTTGTTTCCACCGCTCTTCTGTATAGACAGACAAAATAAAGTAGGTCGAGTTGAGGAGGCAGAGCCGGGGACGTGTTTGTGAGAGCGATAGAATATAACAGGTGATTAGATGGTGGGCTGGCTCAGCCTGGTGGTCAATAACTGAGGAAGTGTGCATGCATATGGTTGTGTTGGTGATAGTGACGGTAAGGCTAGCTGAGTTTGGGGGTTTGAGAGAAGAGGAGTGTTGATCTTGGTGTAAGTCAGAAGAGGGGGCGAGAAAGGGTGCTTGTGTTGAGGGGGTGTGTGTCTGTTGAGATGCCTCTTTACCTTGACTTGCTTGCTTTGCTTTTGCTAGCTGCTTGTTGTTTGGCTTGGTTTGTGTTTGACTAACAAAATTCAAGCAAAGACCCCAAGTCAAAGACTCAAGGACGATTCAGTCCTAGTCCCAGTCCAGTCCCTCAAGCAAATACTCAACTACCAACCCCTCTACCTGTCCTTAACTGTATATCATCACCAAGCCACACACCAATTTCAGTACCCTTTGACAAAACAGCAGGGCAGAGCAGGACAGAAAGGACACAAGGAGCCTCGTCCCCGTCCGTTGACCTGGTATGTGGTGTGGTGTTTGGTAAGTAGAAGTGTAAGTATTTGTTTTGTGATGAATGAGGAGTAACCAGAGTGAATGAAAGGAAGAAGGAGTGGAAAAGAGGAAGAGACAGCATGCAAGCTCGAGGACCAGCCGTCGTGATGCCACACAGGTAGCCGGCCCTCTTCCGGCTTGGCCTTGGCTTCTTCCGGTGTGTGTGTACGAACACAGGCCTGGGTGAGTGACTGACTACTGGCGGACTGACGAATACTTGGTTCAAGTTTCAGGTAGGTATGTGTATGTACATCGGCCGGCAGGCAAGCAGCCGGCATGTACACATTGAGTGGTGATCTCGTCTGTCTTCCTAGTCCAGTCCAGGTAGATCTGATCCAGTTTAATCAATCAGTCTAGATGATCCAACGGTCGGTAAAATGGTTCGTCCATACAGCTTTGTCGTGCTGGAGGCCACAGATCGAGCGGCGCTAGTTGGAACGTGCTTGCGACTCCTTTGAGGGAGTAGCAGTAACAGTGGCAATGACCTTGCAATATCAATCACAGAGAACAGAGATCCAGTTTACAACGACGCCAGCTCTTCCCCAAAACGTCATAATCCTTGTGTTGTCGACCGTTGACCGTTGTTGTAATTGTAATCACCCATCCCTTAATCAAGTAAACCAACACCTCGTCCCCAGTAAACAGGGATTTCCTTGCTGGCACTCTTCGATGGAGAGCAGCAACCTAAAAGGTGTCGGACACCTGCAGGGGTGTCAAGCTCTGGCTACCCGGCTGAGCTCATCATCCGGTGAAGCTCAAGACAGTTTTGTGGAACAAAGAAAGCGTAAAGCTGTGGTGCGGAAGGGGGCCCCGGGTTTTGGTGAGCTGGAAGGGTTTGGGGGCTTGGTTCGCCCAAGAGCTGGCCAGCTTGCTCAGAAATTGTGCTCCCAGACCTGGGTGACGAACAAACCATTGGCTTGGTTTGGGTTATGGGAGTTTGATTTGGCTGGTCAAACAAACTTGTTGCTGACGTGACTCTTGGTACTTCGTCCTATCTTCTCTGAGATGAGACACCAACGACAGTGATATGAAAATAACCAAACCAAGCCAACTGTTTCTGACTCAACAACACGTGGATCGCATCATCTTTTCCTCTTTGTGTGTAAGCAAGTATCAGCGCCCAGGTTGGTAAACAACAGGCAACGAAGCGAATGCCTCCAAAACTGCTTTTCTTGTGTGTTCTACGCCTTAGCAGGGCACAGGGCTAGAACTGAAATGGTGTAATTGCGCCAAAAGACCCACCATTAGGTAGTAGGCACTAGGTAAGTCAGCCGAGTAATTCCTAGTGTGTCACCATTCGACCACGCACCGAGCAAATATCCTGCCAGCGGACTGGTTTCATCGTCACGCAAAGGGCGATAGGTATCTGCAGAGGAGAGTATAGGGCTAATTACCTGGTCTGGCGGTCCATAAGTTGAGGAGAGTCAACATGTGAGGGCCTATAGCCTAGAAGGTCTTGGGAGACACGTTGTTGGAGATGCTTGTTGAGTAAGTGTAAGCAGGAGATGGAACCGTCATGGTCTGCCGCCTCATCTCGTTGTTCAGCATCTTCACTCGCTAGATCGAGAGCCCTGTTCTGCTCCTCAAGTCCACTGATCTCACTCCGATCGATAAAAGCCCTCTTTCCCCTTCCAGAACACTCGGACTCGCACCCGGTATTCCCCGGCCAGGATCCTCAACCCATCCGGCGGCTGCCGCGGTCATGGCGCGGAAGGGGACATTCAAGTCCAAGAATACATACCCACTTAGGAGAGTGCTGAGTAGTGTCCCTCCTGCACGAAGCCTTGCCCACTTGCTTGTGTCCCTTTTCCCTCTACCCTCAGCCTCCCTTTGTTTTCTGCCTCCCTTCCCACAAGCTTTTGCGTGTGCACGTGTGATTGCACAACAGACGAGCCATCAGCAGCGAAACAGGGAGCACAGATAAAGTGTCCGATGGGAAGACAAGAAACGCGTCTGAAACAGTTGGAAAAGGGTAGCCATAGAGCTAGGCAGCCCGCGAGACCAGCCTTATTTGGGGCATGCTTATGACTGGGATGGTGCGGTAGGGCTCATGCAATTCTTTGTTGGGTTGCTCATGGCAAGGACCAGGTATGTAGACCGCGATGGCGGCGGTATCGGCGTTGATGATGGCCTCGTTTACTTTGACCAGCTAACTCCAGAAGATTGTCCCCGAGTGTCTTTCATCCTTAGTAGGCAACCTCTCAATGTCGAGCAATGAACGAGGGCATCTAGACACAAGGTATCATCCTAACAACACCGTTCGAAGCCAAATGACCACTTAGTGTTGATGACACCATGAGATGAGTACATAAACCGGCCTATCCAATTCCGTATGCCGACCCCAAAACCCAACCCCAACCGCAACCCAGCCAACCTGGACCTAGCAACATTCGAGAGCCCAGTAATAGCCCTAGATTGAGAGGAAGTCAAAAGAAAATGTGGCGCACAGGCTGGCGACCGATGAACGGGGGGCTGGGTGCGTGAGGTTGCCGCAGCGGCGCTGCAAGTGCCGAAAGACGTACATACAGCTAGCAGCGGCAGCACTCTGCTTGCTTAGGCGATTGCTTATCTGCTTGTGCTTGGCTATGCTGGAGAAACTCCCCCCTCCCTTTCCCCTCATTTATGTGAGATACGTGAGGTAGGGCTGTGAGTTTCCCGGTCCCCGGCTCATGGCTACCTTCGTTAGCCTCGTCATCCCAGGTTGCTTCTGCTTTCGTGACTGGCATGGAGCTGCACCTGGACCGAGAACGGTAACAACAGGTGTGGCTGCAGCTGGCAGGTAGATGATGGTAGCATGAATAAATTGAGTGTGCGTGGCTTGGAAGACGTAGGTACAAATTACAAATAAAACACGACTTGCGCTGCGCTGCTGCTGCTCCTGCTGTGCAGCGTGTAGTCGGCCCACCTGATGGGATATGTAAGCTGCTCGCTTCGGCAGGATAGACGAACAGGCCGTTGGCAGTTGTCAACTAGAGTAGGCAAAAAAAGACAAGAACCTCGAACGGCGAAGATTCAGGGTGGAAAAAGCCACGCAGCCCAAGCTCATGGTTCCCAGCCAAAAGCAGATGACGTTGACGGGAGGCTGCAGCCCGTCATCGACGGCACCGCTGTCCGGCACCAGATGGCTGCCAGATTGTATCAAGTCAGTTTGAGAAGGGGCATATGCCGATAAGGGGGCGTAGATGTGGAGACAACCAACAAAACTACCGCGGAAACTATGTACAAACCACGCACGCTCGTACTAGGCTGATTGCTAAGTGGCAGGGTGTGCGTGGCTTGTGGGCAAATTCAAACTGTGTGAACAGAAGGGAAAGCAGAAGAGAACAGGTCAAACGGCGACACAAGGATTGCCCAGTTCTAGTCCAGTCCAATCCAATCCCCAATCTTCCATCCATCCAAGCGGAAGACAAAGACAGAATAGGGCCACGAGGCAGGACACTGTTCCGGAACAGGTGGTTTGGTTCCCTGCCTTCTTCTGTTTTCTCATATCTCCTATCGCTAGGCCCTATCCCCCGACAAGTCCCGGCGGCGGCGGTACAAGCCCCCCGGTTGTGCAGCGTGGCCAACCGGCCCGAAAGCGGCGGGCGCCCTATTTGTCCTTCGTGTGCATCCTCCATACTTCCCTCATCATTACCTAGCAAGGAATCCGGTTTGGTAGCAAGAGGAGAGTAAAACCGCAGGGAGAGGGGGGGGGGGAAGGGAGATACCACGCATCAGACCACGTGCTCATAGTGTTGTGCTGCGTGGCAGTGGCCAACCGGGACGTAGCCGTTGTTGTGTCTCAGGCACAGTGATGGGGAAGGGCAAGACTGTGTCATTTCTTGGGAGTTCTCTGACAGGCAATGGTCGTCCAAATCGTGTCCGAGGAAATGATGCCATTAGATATCACTTTTGGACCTTGTCATCGGAGCTGGCGAGACAAGGCGCCCAGACAGACAACGAACTCCATTCATTATGACTCCCAAATTACCAGCCATCAAGGTATCAGATGTCGTCAAGACCCGAGAAACGAAAAAAAAAAGCGTCTCATATCCTCATGTCCCATTCCATGCCATATCTCCCCATTGTCCGACAGCCAGGGGCGAGGGCAACACGGCAGGCCCACCAGGGACGAAACAGAACAGCTGTGGAAGCGTATGAACAACTCAGAAGGTGCCAGAAAGCACGCGAACAAAAAGCCTCCGGTGTGCCAAGTGCTGTACGACTCTCAGTCACGGGCGCAGGGCGGCTTGGGGTTGGGGCTATACACATGTACCATACCAGGAGCTGTCTGCCCTGAAGAGGCAAGTGACAAAGCGAATTCTTGACAGACTGCCAAACAGAGAAGACAGCGTCGGGAAATTTCGAAGCGTTGTCTCGCTGCTGCCGCTGCTGCCCTACTACTGCTGTCTCGGGGCGAAGGCGCGAAAGTCGCACGGCAGCCTGCTATGTTGGCGTTGGGGGCACAACGTCGAATGTGCGGCACCAGCAGGGATGGCGAAGGGGAGGGAATCGAGTCGGTCTGGAGTCGGGAAGGAGCCGGAATGAGAGCGGCAGGGGAGCATAGCTGCCACGATGTTGTCGACCGTTCACCGACTGGCCAGAGATGGACGACGTTCGCTATCCGTTGAGGGATGCAGAGCCGATTGGGTTATTCAGCCAGACTTGTTGGGCATTTGAAACACCTCTGCCCGTTTCTGACGCGGCGGCGGGCGTTTACAGCCGGGCCGGAGGTGGAAGCACGCAGCAGCTGCCGTGTGTCGCCGTCGTTGGTCGAGTCGATGTCAGACCTTAAGGAGGCCATTCTTATCAGTCCTGGTTCAACAAACCAGACATCTTTCGTGGCTGGGGTTGAAGTATGTCAAGAGAAACACCAACATCAGATGAACTGGTAGTTCGCTTTGTTTACGTCTTTCAGGAACCAGGAACAGTTCCACTTTTACTCGAGTCAGTCGCAGTCGTAGTTTCAAAACACCAAACTCTGTAGTCCAGTGTTTCGTGTCAAAGGCGAGATTGAACCAAACACTACCCAAACCCAAATTAGCGCACAACGCCTCGACTCTCTTTCCTGAGAAAGAAGGGAGAAAAGAAGAATGGCGAAAAGGTCCCGTAGCGTCGGCACACAAAGCAACAAGCAACAAACCACAACTCCAGATCACGTCGGTCTGGTTGTACTGACCAATGTGTACACTGCTTGCCCGATCCCTCGCTCCTTCACGACCACTGCGGTGTTCCAGGGCATCAGGGTGCCTGACGGGTACCTCGCTCGCAGTCTCAATCTCTAGCATTCTGCTTCCACCAACCAGACCAAGGCCCAAACTGGCCCATCACTTCGTTCAACAAGCACAGCCTACGCGCAAACAAACAGCGAGCCAAACCAGAAGTCAAACTGGCATCCATTACAACCAACCCGAAACAGCGATAGCACTTCTAATTGGCCCTTCGAGCGTTGCTGGTTCTGCCCGGCCATTCTCAACTCAGTCATCCGCTATGTTTGCTCCCAAGTGCTCCCTTCGACTGGAGAAGTGGAAGGGGAAGGGCAAGATCATTGGCTTTGCTAGTACGAAACCAGATAACACAGTCAAGGTACGTCAACGCTTCCAGATTTTGAACTTGCTTAATTTATCGATCAGTTCTCCATTGTCTTTTTGGTCGAAATTCCTCGATTCGCTGTTTGCAATTTTCTAGAATATCCCCCCTCGTCGGTCACGTCGTGCAGTGTGGGGTGGTCGTCTGCAAGTGTGGGTCCGCCATCTCAACTGCCGAAGCGTGGCTGCCTTAGGGTCGGATGGCTATTTGCCTCAGGCATCACACCTGCATTTCTTGGCTCCGGCGGGCTTGGCGTTCTTCAGCGCATAAACTGCCAAGACACCATACGCGTCTTTGTCGCGCCAATGCGTTGGCTCTTGGCAGGCCTGGGAGGATAGCGGAGCTGCCCGTTTTGTAGGCACGCGCAAGGGCTCACTGGCTCGCCTCGATGAGCCAATGTGGGGTCGTGTCTCACTGCGCACCCTCTCTCTCTGGACACGCACACACAGAGTCGACGCGGGTCTCCTTGCTGAAAGATTCGGGGAAATTTTCTGTTTACAAACGCGACCCTCCAACTGTGTGCCTGCGGGAACCAGGAGTGCCAGGTGCTCGATTGACAGTTCAGTCGAGCCGTGAGTCGTGGTCGCCCTCGCCCGCGACGATCTTTCACTGGTCGCTTATCCAATTCCCATTCGCGTCATCCCGATCTTGTTGCTTTGCATTGCCTTTGCATTGCCTTCCACTCGTACCACTACCTACAAACTACCATCATTCCTACCCAGGAAGACCCTGACAGACCCGACTCAACTCGACTTGACCTCGCCCAGGCCAGGCCCGGGTTTGGTTCTGCTTTTCAACGTTTCCACCGTCGACGCGGCACAGTCGAGCATTGAGCCTCGCTTCTGCTCTCCTTTTTATTTTTACACTGGCTTTGCTACATGCCCGGTGTCGCTCTGGTCAGCCGCGTGCCACTTTGTCTACACTTCCTACATCCCAAAAATTCTTGACTCTCACAAAAATTACACTCAATAACACAACCGGTGTCCCCGAATACCCGATTGTCTACTGTTGTATTGCCGATTGTTTGGACTAGTGTTTTCGTCCGGCCGTCATGGCTTCAGATTCTGACTCGGTCTTTGAGGACCGCTACCAGAGCGAGTCGGATGCCTGGACACCCGATGAGGTGAGTTGAGTCGCGGAAATGTTACGGTCGCGCATGAAGCTGACGACGCGCAGAAGCCCAAGCTGGTCGCCAAAAAGGCGACCGCGAAGCAACCAAAAAAATTGGTACAGACTACCCTGACTGGCAGCAAAACGACCGGCAAGAAACGCCCCAAGCCGGCTGGCGACGACGAGGACGATGACGGCAACTTCTCCAGCACCCCGCCGACCAGCAAAAAGGCCAAGAAGGCTCCCGCCAAAAAGGCTAAGGCGACCGGCAAGGCGCTGGCCGAGATCGAGAACGATAGCATGCAGATTGACGATGCCGCTAGCGGGACTGCTGACGGCGATGCCGCGCCCGCCGCGACGACTGGAAAGAAAAAGACGGCTACCGAGACATACCAGAAGCTCACCCAGCTGGAGCATATCATCCGCCGTCCCGACACCTACATCGGCTCCGTCGAAAAGACCGACCAGAAGATGTGGGTGTTCAACAAGAACGAAAAGATGATGGAGAACCGGACGATCACCTATGTTCCCGGTCTCTACAAGATTTTCGACGAAATCCTCGTCAACGCCGCCGACAACAGCCAGCGCGACTCGTCCATGACCTATATCAAGGTCACCATCGACCGTGAGTCCGGTGAGATTTCGGTCGAGAATAACGGCAAGGGTATACCAGTCGAGATCCACGAGAAGGAGCAGGTCTGGATTCCCGAGCTGATCTTCGGCCACCTGCTCACGGGTTCCAACTACGACGATAATGAAAAAAAGACAGTCGGTGGCCGTAACGGTTACGGTGCCAAGCTGACCAACATCTTCAGCAAGCGCTTCACCATCGAGCTGCAAGACTCGGTCAACGGCAAGCGCTACAAGCAGACGTGGACGGACAACATGGGCAACATGGAGAAGGCCAAGATCACCTCCAACAAGTCTTCGGATTTTGTCAAAGTCTCCTTTTTGCCCGACTACAAGCGCTTCGGCATGGAGAACGGCATCGATGACGACCTTGAGGCCCTGCTGTACCGCCGTGTCTATGATATGGCCGGTACCGTCAACGGCGTCAAGGTGTACCTGAACGGCGAGCAGCTCAAGATTAATTTCAAGTCGTACTGCGAGTTATATGCCCGCGCCATCGCCCGCGAGCGCGGTGACGAGGCCACCGACGGCGACAAGCCGCCTGCCGCCAAGGTCGAGTTTGACCAGGTCCGCGACAAGGGCCGCCTGTGGCAGATCGGCTTCACCGTGTCAGACGGCACCTTTCAGCAGGTGTCTTTCGTCAACAACATCGCCACAACGTCGGGTGGTACCCACGTCAACTATATCGCCGACCAGATCTGCGATGCGCTCGTCAAGGAGCTGAATAAGCGCAAGAAAGGCCACTCGCTGAAGCCGAGCCACTTCCGCAACCACATCTTTATCTTCATCAACTGCTTGATCGACAACCCGGCCTTCACCTCACAGACCAAGGAGCAGCTGACCACCAAGGTCAGCGCCTTTGGCAGCAAGTGCCAGCTGAGCGAGCCCTTCCTCAAGAAGATTCGCCAGTCTGAGGCCATCGCTAACATCATGGCCTTCGCCGACAAGAAGGCCGACAAGATGCTGGCCAAGAGCGACGGCAACAAGCGCTCGCGCATCAGCAACGAGAAGCTGGTCGACGCCAACTTGGCTGGCACCAAGCGTGGCCACGAATGCACGTTGATCCTGACAGAAGGTGATTCAGCCCGCGGTCTTGCCGTCGCTGGTCGTGCCGTGCTCGACCCCGACCGCATCGGTGTCTTCCCGCTCCGCGGTAAGATGCTCAACGTCCGCGATGCCTCGATCGACCAGATCATGAAGAACAAGGAAATCGAGAACATCAAAAAGTTCCTTGGTCTCAAGCACAAGCAGGAGTACACCGACACCAAGAGCCTGCGCTACGGCCACCTCATGATTATGGCCGATCAAGATTTGGACGGTAGCCACATCAAGGGTCTATTGATCAACTTCCTTGAGGTCCAGTTTCCCTCGCTGCTGCGCATCCCCGGCTTTTTCCAGGAGTTCATTACGCCGGTCGTCAAGGTCTGGCAGGGAAACAACCCCAAGAAGCCGCAGAATCTCAAAATGTTCTTCAACCTGCCCGAGTACGAGCAGTGGAAGGAGGAACACAAGCATGAGCTGCGCAAGTGGAAGTACAAGTACCTCAAGGGTCTGGGTAGTTCGTCGAACGAGGACGCCCAGGTCTACTTCAAGGATCTCGACCGGCATCTGAAGCGGTTCGAAGTAATGACGGATGAGGAGTCCAAAATGCTCGAACTCGTTTTCTCTAAGAAGAAGGCCGACGCCCGCAAGGAGTGGTTGGCTAACTTCGTGCCTGGTACTTACCTTGACTCGACCACGCACACCGTCAAGTACAAGGACTTCATCGACAAGGAGCTCATCCTGTTCTCCATGGCCGATAACGTGCGTTCGATCCCGTCCGTAGTTGACGGTCTCAAGCCCGGTCAGCGCAAGGTCGTCTATGGTGCCTTCAAGCGTAACCTTGTCAACGACCAGAAGGTTGCCGAGTTCGCCGGTTACATCTCCGAGGTGGCTGCCTACCACCACGGCGAGCAGTCGCTGCAGCAGACCATCGTTGGTTTGGCCCAGAACTACGTGGGTTCTAACAACGTCAACATCCTCGAACCTAGCGGCAATTTCGGTTCGCGTCTCGCCGGCGGCTCGGACGCGGCCAGCGCCCGTTACATCCACACGCGCTTGTCGCCTTTCGCGCGTAAGGTCTTCTCCAAGCTCGACGAGCCTAACCTTGAGTACCAGTTTGACGACGGAAACATGATCGAGCCGAAGGTCTACGTGCCCATCATCCCCATGGTCCTTGTCAACGGTGCGGACGGTATCGGTACCGGTTGGAGTACTGGAATCCCTAACTACAACCCCAAGGACATCGTTGAAAACCTCAAGCGTCGCATGGGCCGTGACGAGAGCGGTGATGGTGTCGAGAAGCCCTTCTTGCCCATGACGCCTTGGTGGCGTGGCTGGAAGGGCCAGGTTCTTCCGGACGGTCCGAACCGTTGGAAGTTTAATGGTATCATCAAGCAAGATGAGACCAACCCCAACGAGGTGCACGTCACCGAGCTGCCCATCCGCATGTGGACCGATGACTTCAAGGCCCGTCTGGAAGAGATCCTCCGCGCCGAGAAGACCCCGTCCTTCATCAAGGATTACAAGGAGTTCAACGATCACCGCACGGTGCACTTCGTCATTGAGATGGAGCCCAAGCACATGGAGGCCGCTTTGAAGGAAGGTCTCATCGAGAAGTTCAAGCTCTCCAAGATCATCTCAGCGACCAACCTCGTCGCGTTCGACACCCAGGGCAAAATCAAGAAGTACGAGAACCCGGAGGAAATGCTCGAGGAGTACTACCACTACCGCCTGGCCATGTATACGGAGCGCAAGAAGCACTGGCTGTCCGTCTACGACGCCGAGTACCGCAAGCTCAAGAACCAGTACCGCTTCATCCTCGAGATCATCGAGGGCAAGCTCGTCATCAACCGCAAGCAGAAGAAGATCCTCGTCAAGGAGCTCCGCGACCGCGATTACGAACCTTTCCCGCCCAACGCAGAAAAAAAGGTCAAGAACACGGACGAGGAGCTCAACCGGGATGAAGCCAGCAGCGATGACGAGGACGCTGGTGGTGGTGTTACCGCCCGTGATTATGACTATCTCCTGTCCATGCCCGTCTGGTCGTTCACCGCAGAACGGCTCGAGAAGCTCAAGGGCATGATTGCCGCCAAAAAGGCCGAGTGGAACGAGCTTAATGCTAAGTCGGAGAAAGACCTGTGGGTGGAGGATCTCGATGCCTTTATGGAAGAGTGGGAGGCCCAGCTGAAGCAGGATGAGGAGAACTATCATAATGTCACCAAGAAGGGTCGCAGACAGTCGCTCAAGCTTGGCTTGGGCAACGCCAAGGGCGGGCGTCGGCGCGCTGGGGATGATGATGATGATGATGATTATAATCCTGCGGCGAAGAAGGCTAAGACTGCTAAGGCGACTGCGGCGACTAAGGTCAAGCAAGAGAAGGAGGTTAAGGAGGAGAAGATCGAGCCGAAGAAGACGCAAGAACGGTTTGCGGAGAAGTTTGCTGCCAAGTCGGTCAAGGTTAAGGATGACTTGTCTGACGAGGATTTTGCACTGCTGCAAGGCGGGGACAACAAGGTCGCTGTCAAGAAGGAGCCTGGCACCAAGTCGAGGTTTGAGTTGTCCGACTCGGACGATGATTTCATGGACCTAGGCAAGCCTTCTGCTGCAACGGCCAAGAAGGCGGCCGTAAAGGAGGAAGTCGACGGCGATGACGGCGTCGTGGAGGTTTCCCGCCCTAGGAGGGCGGCGGCCAAGAAGGCTAAGTACACCGCCTCTTCTGAGGAGGAGGAGGAGGAGGAGGAGGATGACGAGGATGATAGCATGGAAGACTTTATTGTGGATGATGATGAGGAAGAGGATGTCGAGGAGAAGCCTGCCGCGGCGGCGAAGAAGTCGTTAGTCTCGAGGAAGAAGGTTCCGTCCGAAGAAGATGACGACGAGGACTTTGACATGGAGCTGTCGGAGAAGGAGAAGCCTAAGCCTGCTGCCAAGAAGCCTACCGCTTCAAAGGACAAGGCTAAGGTCGAGGAAGACCATGATGACCTCAGCGTCGAGGAAATCCCCGCTCCTCCCAAGAAGACTGCCTCCTCCAAAACCAAGGACTCCGACGCCTCCGCCGAGTCGGACAAACCCTCCAAGTCTTCCAAGACTCGGAAAGATGAAGACAGCGACGTCATCATGGAAGACGCCAAGCCGTCTCGTCGAGCAGCCGCCAAAGCCAAAGCCCGCTACGTCGAGTCCTCTGACTCCGAGTCCGACAGCGACAATGACATGGATCTAGGAGACGTGGGCTCGCTCGTCAAAGGCATCGGCGGCGGTTCTTCTGCCGCCGCTTCCAACCGCCTCTCCTTGTTCTCGATGTCGCGCCCCGAGGATGGCTCTTTATCTGCCAAGAGATTGAAGCCTGCCCGCAAGGAAAGCAAGTCCTCTAATTTTGCAGAGGATGATGAGCACGACGATACCAACTACGAGGCGCTGGCTATGAGCTCACCTAGGAAGGGTCCGACTACCGCAGCCGCGGGAAAGAAGCCTGCGGATGCGCTGGCCGATTTCTTGTCGGATGATGACCTGCCTTCTGCTGCCACGAAACCCTCGGCTTCGTCATCCACCGGGGCAACAAGCAAAGCCAAGCCCCTGGCAGTCGTCCCCACCCAGCCCAAGAAGAGGGGTCGTCCTCTGGGGAGCAAAAATAAGCCCAAGGACGATCCCTCCTCCACCACTACGAAGGCGGCCGCCAAGCCTAAGTTAAAGCAGACTACCCTCTCTCCCGCGGCAAAGGCCTACGCGGCAAAGAAGGCTAAAGCTTCTATAGACGATGACGAGTCAGGGGAGGATGAGTTCGTTGACGCCCCGGCTAGTCCGCCCCCGGCGGCGGCAAAGACTAGGCCTGGCAGGGCGGCGGCGCAGAAGGCGAAGACGACGATTGTGATTGATGATGATGAGGAGGATGATTCCATCCTTGCGGGGCCGAGTAAGAAGGGGCCGGGGAGGAAGAGGAGGGAGAGTGATGATGTTTTTGGATTGAGTTCTAGTGAGGATAGTGAGTAGGGGGTGAAAGGTGTGATTTAGGTGGTTGCTGCCGGTTTTCTTTAGGTCTTTTAAGTCTCTTGATACTATTAGGTGGATGATCGTTCAATTGATGGTTGGGTCACGAACTGGACAAAACGCTCTTCCTCTCTCAGATGTGTAGGTGTATAGGGCAGCTCTTTGCAGGCTGGATGGGCTCTGGTCGATGATGATACTGGTTTAGTGTATTGTGTGTGTTTGAGTGTTGTTGAGTTTCACTTAATCTTGCTGCTTACTATACCTAACGGGTGGCATCGGCTGATGTGGTGTTGGATGTCTGTTCCCGTACATTGCCCTCGTCGACGTTGTAACTATCAGTTTGCTCTCCTGCCGTGACTTCACAATTGCTCTGCCTGATAAAGCCGTTGATGAAATTTATGAGAGCGTAATCCGAGGCTAGCTCTGTATACTTAACCCTAGCTCTACTCGCGTTGCCTTCGTTGATACATGATCCATCAACCTCAGAATGTCACTTCTAAGATTCTCATGGCCCATGAAGTCATGACCACAAAAGTGATTCATAACATGCTAGTGATCTCCGTCATTTGTATTTCACACTCGGACTCGAAACCAATCCCAGGCTCCTCATCCTCATCGTCATTTTACATCAACCCCCTCTCCATCGGAGTCTCAACTCCCATGCTTCGATTTCGCATTTTGTCTCTGGAAGAAACACTGTCCCTGACAGCAAGACCGAAAGCGAGTGCCACCCCCTCCCCCCCCCCTTCAATCCCCACAACTCTTCATGATTTTATAAGGCATGAAGAACTTTTTGGACTAATTTCGCAGTTTTTCATCCCACAACGGGGCCGAAGCAAATCCCGAACCCAAAAGTCCAGGGCCCAGGGAAGGTCTGAACTTGCCGTGGCTTCCGGCCGAACACCGAACAAAACCCAACGGTGATGACCGAGTCGACGGTTCCCGATCGGGTTCAACTCCTCCCACATATCGGTGATGGGCAACTGCCGGCCAACAAGGTAAAGAGACTTTAGATGTTTAATGGAGGAACACGGACTGAACGCTGAGGACGCTGAACCATGCGCCCAACTAACCCTAACCCAAACCTGTCCTACGCCAGTCCCATATCAGGCCAAGACCTGGGCCCTGACCAAGATAAAAATTTCTCCCCCATGCATGGGAAAATGTGACCATGACCAAAAAAAGTGAGGATAACTTATGCAAGTTATCTAATTGGCCTCACCCAGGTTCGAACTGGGGACCTTCAGTGTGTTAGACTGACGTGATAACCAACTACACCATGAGACCAACTCGCTTGTTGCTTTACGTTCGAAAGAATTAGCTTAATATGGGAGGATCACAGTGTAATGGCTGTAATTAATGACCTGTGACAAACTGATGATCCGAAGACCAATTAAATTTCAAGAAAGTAGGAAGACAGAATTTTTTTGGAGCTCTTGTATTGCAGGTAAGAATAAAATCGCATAACTGTCCATGTGGGAAGGGGACAGTACATGGATGGTGAGATGGTCAAATGCACCTGGCTCGATACACCAAAGACCACTCACCATTAGCATCGTCGTTGCAAACCATAAGCATCTGAACTAGCAGCTACGGCTTCCTTCTATCGGTCAGATTTAACCTTCAACTGTGTGACTTAGCAGAGATCTTGAGATTGTGTCAGGAGTTAACATGCAAGTTGAAAGAGGCATCGATCTCCCACAAGCCCTCCTGTTTGCAAGCGTGAAACAATGAAGCAACGCATTGTTTCAAACATCCTTCCCAGACATTTGCCCACATGCAGCGATTGCTCTGTAGCCCGAAACTTTTTGTCCTTCCCCGGAAGTCCCCATCTTTAATTTTATCTCGACAATTGCCAACTTACCACCGCTTCGATCATCTTCCCTCCTCTCCAACCAGCACCACTTTACTTTGGTCCTACCTCCTCCATGAAACCTGCAGTATTTTAATCTCCTCTGGTCTCGCCAATTCTAACGCCGCCCCGCAGTGGTAAGAGGACGCGGGTGACTCGTCTAGTGGTTAGGACACTTCGTTGTGGTTCTTGCGGCAACGCGGAAACATGACGACCGAAGAAACCCTGGTTCGATTCCAGGGTCACCCACAGTTTTTGCGTTTTTTTCCCGGATATGTCCCAGTCTCCATCACTTTTTAGGAGACAGCTCAAGTTATATATGGGACTGGATGCATGTTTGGAGTAACGCAGAACGGGAAACAATAGTAATTTTGCATAGACGATTAGGCGGGATGTTAACGGAATTGATACTTTACATATTTGGATATGGCTTTGCTGGAGAGAGTTGAGCGTTACAGCTCTCTTAAACTGTCTGCAAATCGAGGCATGTGAAACGGGCTCGAGTGGGACCGAAAGACTGTTGAAGCTCGAAAAAAGTGGGAGGTAGGGAGCATGGCAGCAATTCAATCGAAATGCTGAATGGGTATAGCCCAGTAGCATAGCATTACCTGAATAATCCACAACCATATACACAATTACTCATACCATTACACCTTGACACACACCACCCCTCTTCACCAAAAGATATGCTCCATCCATACGACGGCGGCGAATGTGCAAAAGGATGTTATCTGTCTCCAGGGCAACTACCTTAGGAACAAGAATCGAACATAGGTAGGTTTTCCAAAGCAAAGCAAAACGGCACTCACAGCCAGCAAACGTAAAAATGGACAAGAAAGAGGAAGCCCAAGGACAAGGTCCCGGCAGAGTATCAAATCGAAGGTGGCAAAAAAAGCAGGCAAGCAGGCGAGAAATACCACACATGAAAGACAATTCGAACACATACAACCCATCCCATCTCTTTCCTTCATTCCCCGAACGAACCCTAAGTAAGACCCACGAAGAGAACACTTCCGCCCAACGTCGTCCAGACCTCCCTCCCCGAGAACGAGTAAAGAGTAGTTGCCCGGAAACATCCAACACCCTCCTGCACAAAATAGATATTAAAAGGTAGGTACAGCGCTATGATTTGTCATGTCTCATGTCTCATAACTGTAGCATAATTGTACCCCCCATCCAGGCGAGCGAGCATCAAGCTCCTTTATGTTGCTGGAATCGCGAAAGGAGGAATCATGCTGTTAGGAGAGCTCAGAGAAGCGCAGCAACAACAGCAGCAGCGAAGATGGCGAAGCCGCTGGCAGGGCCGACCAGACTGGCCGCACCCTCAGGGATCTCTGTCGACGTGGCCGACGGCTCGCTGGGGACGTTGGGCGTGGTGGGCACCACAACGGTGGTGCCGTTCGACGACGGGGGCACGAATGTCACGCTGGGCTTGAAGGTCGAGGTGATGTCGGCGGTGGCGGTTGCCGTGCTGTTCTTAGCGGTCGGCACGGCGGACGAGCTGCTGGATTTGGTCGTGGTGGTCTCGGGGGCCTGAGTCGAGGTCGACGAGCTGCTGGTGGTCGTGGTTGCGGGAGGAGGAGTCTGCGACTTCAAACCACCGTCGACCTCGTACTCCTTCGCACAGGTCTCAAGGTCCATGCCCTCCGGGCAGCACCAGGTCTCGCCGTGAACGTCCTCCGTGCAGTAGTAGCCGGCCTCGCAGGAGTCTGCAAACGTCAGTACATGCCCAAACCCCCCAGATGTCACATGTCACGTACCGCCCTTCTTGTTCGGGCAGCAGACCTCGCCAACGGTTGGATTGAAGCAGTGAATGGCATTATCGGTAGACGCGCAGGTCTCGTAGCCAGCACCGCAGGCCTCGGCGCAGGTGCTGCCGTCGTTGCACTGGGCGGTCTCGGGGTGATAGCCAGGGGCTTCGGCGCGGCGGGCGATGGCAAACAGATCACGGGTCGACATCTTCATATTGGAAGGCTTGTAGGGACGGGGCTCGGCGACAGCACCGGCAGCCAGAGAAAGGGCCGCCCACGCAGCGATGTTGCGGATGAGCATTTTGACAGCTTGTCGGGATCTCTAGGAGATTGGTATTTTTTGACTTCTTTAGGTTGGTCGGATGGAGACAATCGATGCTCCGTAAGACTGTAAGGAATGCGCCGTAAAAATGTTGATTTTAGGTGTAACGAATGACTAGAGCGCGAGCTCTGTTGAAGTGGTGGTGCGAAAGGAACGACGACGAGGAGGTGGTGTGTTGGTGCGAAAAGGGACGGAACACGCAAGTAGGGCGGGCGGGCGGGCGAAGGAGATGAGAGTGGTTTAAAAGCGGGCAGCAACCTGGCAGCGACGATCTGGGGGCGGGCGAGCCCTGAGAGCATTAGGCGAACTGGGGGGTTGCACTGTCCACAACCAGGGGATTGGCGGGCAGCAGCTAGTTGTCGCATCTCCTTAATTTTAGCCCATTGGCGCTGCTCCCTGGTGCCACGGTCTAACTGCGGGCCTTCCCTGCTTTGTTAGCCTGAAACAGCAAGCGTCGACATCGAGACGCACTTCTCTCTGCCATCACGACCGTTTTCACAGATAAAAAAAAGAAACATATTGCGATTACCATTAAATCTATCCCGCATGTTTCGCTGGTCATTTCGCCCTCGGTAAGCTGTGTGTTTACTGCTCTCAAAATGCTGCCCTCAGTTCCATTTTCATCAAGCTGCCCCTTGTGGTACCGGCATTAAACAGCCAAGCCAGGGGCTGATTGGACGGGACGCGCGGTACCTGCAGCTGCTCCCGATAGCGTCCAAAGAGTCAGGAACACCAATCATGGATCGCTGGCGGCGGCACCTATTGACTTGGCTCCAAACACGTGTGTTTCTGTTTTTCATCCGCTCAGACATGCTGCTTGCCTGGACAGGCGATCCGATAGAATGAGAGCTTCTCGATTGTCCAACGGCCGCCAACGCACCGTTTTCTTCCATCATGACGACCAAGCAGTTTGCGCTGCGTGTTCCCCTCTGGTTCTCCTCGCGGCGCATACCCGCAAAGCTCACCCTGGGGCTTGCTCACTACCAAGACTAACGCTATCGCTCTTTCTGATAGGCCCTCTCTTGGCAGCTGCCACCTGCCATCAATGCGTTCGCCGCCGAAATGAGGCCAAGCCGCATCCCTAACAACCAGCATTCCTGTGAGAAATCCCGTAGGCAGTGTCGCTGACAGAATGGCTTTTTAGAACAGGTCAGCAGCTCGTTTACCACCGTTTCACTACAGACATCTCACGCAACCTCAGCCGCTGAGTTTAATTTACAAGAACGACTAAAATAAATTCAGCTGTGTCAGCGACGCGCGCAAGTGCGAGAGCGCCGCCCTTGTGCTTTCTGACACCGACGAGGGCGAGTTTGGCGCTCACTTCCGATCCTGGAAAGCCAGAAGTCAAGCCAAGGCCTGGGCCTGGACCCTGACCCTGGCTACCCACAGCGGTTTGGTTTTCCGCCCCACAAATATCATCTGCCAACCGCCAAAAAACTGCGACGCCTGCGGGTTCTGGAGTTCGGGAACTCCGCCGGAGTGATCACCGTGGACTTTGTCGGTGAGAAAAGGTATCTGTTTGCTGGCAATCGACAGGTTGATTGTGTCTCCAGCGAGATCTGAACATTCCTTCGAGGGTGACGAGATCTCCGGGAAACAAGCAAGTCTCTGTGTGGATGATGTGGCTTGTTGCGTCTCGCGGTTCAAAAGCGATCAACTCTGACCCACCCCCACATTGGGCCTTAAGAACTCGCAAAGCGATCTGTCCAATCAGCAAATGCGGATTTAGCTCAGTTGGGAGAGCGTCAGACTGAAGTCAAACTTCGGGAACTCAATCTGAAGGTCGTGTGTTCGATCCACACAAGCCGCATTTCTTTTGCAATTTTTCTCAGGTTATGTTTTGTCGTCCGACCGAAAATGGCGTTTCAGTGCGCCTTGGTGTATGTTTCATTTCTCTTATTTCTATTTTAGTCAGTTTGATAACCCAAGGCGACTGAGGAAAATGATTTTGTGAAGTGAGTTGTATGGTTCGGGTTGAAGTCAGTTGAAAGACCTAACCGCTTGACACTGTATATTCTTGAATTTCAAACATAGGTACCATTGAACATCGAAAAGGTCTAGTACTTGTTCTACCCCTTATTTTGCTTTTGGACGGCAACCAATTCGATGTCTTTACCTTGCCTTTCTAAGACCCTCAGCTGTTGCCAGTCTAACAAGCGACAGATGACTTTCGGCATGGTCTCTAGAAATTAACTATGCCTTACCGGAAGACATCCACAGTGTTCATGTAAGCTAGTTAATGTATCTTCGAGTACTTCCTTTCGATGCACATGCCCAAGGCTTAACAATCGTACAGTTGCCCACCTTGTGTTGATCTCTGGTATATAATCTCCAAAGTCCATGAATGTCACCAAGGTTGGCATGTCTATGATTACTGAAGAATCAATTTGGGCCAGCTCGAGATATCAATCTGGAACAAACTCTGTATATTTGGACTTTGACAAATAGCCTTGAACACGAGAACGGGTCACGAGTACCTAGGGCGTTCTCTCAGGTCTTCCATTCTTCGATCAATTGTTATCATATAGTTAAGTCAGGCCTGAAAACAGTGCTCAGACAGTGGCGCTGGCCTCGGATGATGACAGCTCTGCAGTCGCAATTATTCGCTCCATCACGTGGCTTGCACCGTCTAATCTACTTCCATAGCTTGATTCTGACCTTTGACTGTCATTTGTTCTTCGGTAAGCTATTTTTCATGAAGTTTGTGGTTCCAAAGGCCTCTGGAGGGGTGTCTCTGCCCCTGTGGAAGCCAACAGGGCTCGCTGAAACTCGTATCTCGCCAAGGTAAACGATGAAGGGAGTTAGGTCCTGCAGTCTCTGCTTCAAGCTGTTGCCCCAGGGAACCAACAGAATGACAAGTGACAAGTGAACTATCTATAAGGGGTGTACTCATCTAGGGCTGCAACACTTGGCCGAACGCCTACATGGTGGAAAATTGTCGATTGTACGTTCTATTAAATTAGATTTGGGCCTTGACATCCATCAGAAACTGTTGGTCTCGACACTCCGCAGATGCCATCCTCACTTTATGCTGTCGTTGACCCTAGCTCCGTCTGCAGTGCTTCTCTTGTAATAGCGGAATATTTAGTGTCGAGAAGACACACTATAGAACATGAGTCAGAACGCCAGTTGTATCATCATCAACATCAATGACTCATGGGCCAACTTCGTGGTGTTGCCGGGAACTCTCACGTGCAATAATCCCGAGAGATCGAAGTTTTTGTTTCGATGCTATACATGCTTTGGATGTTATTGCCAGTTATAAAAGGAAATCTACTTGATATCCCAGAGTCAGTAGTCAACTTCACCAAACACTTCATGGGGTTTCGGCTTGGGCCAATGCACTAAAAACCATGTGACAACTTCTATTAAACCACCGTCGCATAGAGATAACGTTTACAGAGATGTTGTGGAGCTATAATAAAATTCTGTCCCAATGGCTGGTCGCAAGTAGAACAAATATGAGATATGTTATGAGCACGTAGTCATTTCAGTGAAGGGTGCCTCATCATAGAAGAAAGCTGAGAATCCGAGAGCAGAGGGGTTCCCGTTTGCTTTCTATGGAGCAGATGAGCAGCATCTACATTTGAGACACCTATTTTGATCTATTCTGGCCAACTACCATCCACAATGTTTTGTCTCGAACATGGGACATACAAGGCGTTATTTGACCTTATCATTCGGCTTCTCGGAGAAACGCTACGATCAGGTGCACAACAAGCGTAAAGACATAAAACGATAGCACCGAAGGAAGTGAGTCTATGTTCCTGCCACTCCCTTATCTCTCTCATCTCAAGAATGCATAGTGACCTTACCCTTTCCCATCGAGCAGTTGGCTAGCCATTCTTCACGATACTCTCTCAACGACAACTCTTGCGGTATTTGGTAGCACTCGGCATCTTTCCACAACTTTGGGATTGCAGGGCTCTCTGGGGAGTCGCATGTTGAACGGACTGGTTACTAATGATCCTCATTAGCTCCAAATATTACCACTTAAGACTTCTCCCCTTCCTAGACTTAGTCGGACCGGTACATGTTGAACCAGGAACAATGGTCCAAGTTAGACACTCACAACCCTAAAGTGCCAAGGTCTACTCTACCCGCATTGCGGTCAAACACTTGACTGAACTTCATCGATAAAGTAACTTCAGGTTAGAGGAAAGACAAAAAACGAGCAGCGCCAACTTCAGATATCTTCCCTCAAACCGAACTGCCACTGTTTTCTCCCGAATATTCTCTGCCCGCTTTAGCGGCCCGATTACAGACACCGATACAGCCGCACCCGGTCTCATTCGGGCAACTTCATAGGCCCTTATCAGCCGTTAATTGCCACTCAGGAGTCAGAGGCTCAACTCTATCTCGTCCCCAACATCCCATACCCTGCAGCTGTCAACGGCTCAGGAACAAGAAACACCGTCACAATCATCATCCCGCAATGGCACCTCGATTGGGGCCGTACTACAACATCACAACCTTGATTGGAACGTGCATGCATTAAGGTGGGTAGCTCAGCATCGGACATTCAACGAGATTGTGCACGTACACAACATCCTCAACCAAGATAATCCCTCATCTGGCTGGGCACATGCTGTACTCTATTATCTCAGCCAGAGACTGCACACAAAGGATCGAGAGAGATCAAGGACGGAAGAGGGACATGGAAGGGAAGAAGGGACGGCAGAGCAACCCATCCATCCATACCACACCATCTATCTTCGACCTCTCTTTCTGCACAGACATTGAGAAGGTTCAAACACCAACAGTCACCAAATTAACTCCGGAGACACCATCACCTTCACCGAACACCACCCTTTCACCAAGCAGGAAGGTTGGCCCCCTTCCAGCTTCCCCGCCCGCTCCTTTACAGGCACCCGTCCCGCCCCGCAGCATCACCCGATCCGATCAGATCAGATCGGCCACAGCCGGAACCCGCGACACCAATCGCGACACTGTACCTTGACACAGTAGCCAAACAGAAAACAGGCCCCTCCCTCGCGGGCAGTTCCTGTGTAAGTCAAGGGGACCGAGCCCAAATCACACCATAGCAATACCCCAGCAGAGCTGAACCAGCGGAGCCAAGATATGGAATGTCGATTGGAAGCTGTGGGCCAGAAGGACTGATACGAAGTTGCATGCACCGTAGGGAGTGAGTACAAAATAAATACATACACAGCACCAACAAAGGAAACTTTTGCCTACGTCCCCCAGCGCCACCTCCACACTCCCAGCCCTGCACTACTGCAAAGTGGCGCGACGCAGATGCAACCAAAGCGTCAAACGTTCAAAACAAACGTCAAGCTGGCGGCTCGCAAGCGAAGCTCACTTTTGCTTTCCATGCGTTAGTTCAGCATAGCGTATATTGTATGTACATTCGGGGCTGCCGCAGCGCCGCAGCACAGCGTTCCCTATCCGACCTTTATCCAAGTTTCCACTCCTGTCGGCCTTTCCCCGCGATAACGGTTATGGTCCAGCAAGACAATGGGTACACTACAGAGGAGTCTAGGCGCCCCGCGACGCAAGACTCCGCGCAATGAGCCGATTCATGGCCTGACGCGGCCCCGGCGCTGGATTGCGCAAGACGTGGGCATGGCGGGGCGTGGGGTGTCCAGATGGGTCGTTGACGAAGGACTGTCTAGAAGTCATAGGAGTTCTGTTTGGGGTGTGAAGGTAGCCTTTTGCTGACAACTCGTCAGGTAGGCAGGTAGAGTGGAGGCTTATTAGGGAAGATCTAAAGTTTGCATACGTAAAAGTAGAGATAAAGCTATCATACCGCGGCTTTTTATGCATGCAATATACAGATAATATCGAGAAATTTAACGATGGGACAAGTATTTTTTTTTTCGGTCCTGGATGGGTGCTCGGCGACCAGGGGTTAACTTACAGTTGCCCCTGAATCGAAGACTCACCCTCTCCATGTATTCGACCTGGACCTTTGTTACGCGTTGTTCTTGTACAACTTTCAAGTTCCATCCAGGGTATAACCAAGAATAAACGAATATTGCGAGTTAGATCAGCTCAAGACCCGACAGAGCCCCAGTTCTAGAAGCCCTTGGCCCCAGTGGCGCAAGCTGAATTCGTGCAAACGCTGTAGCATCAGCTACGACGCTACCCTGCGCCTGTAAGACCACGCTGGCAGAAGCGAGCTTCACCTTCGCACATGGACCTGAGGAAATACCGATCCGATTCGACTTTGTACACGGCAGATAGAGTAAGAATGTGGAGTTGAACATGTCACAGATGCGGGCATCTCCCACTTTTTGCTCCTCTTCTAAGTGTCTGAGCTATCACGAAAAAGCAGATTATGAATTGCCAGCTCATCAAGCAGAAGCAAACATCACATCTTCGCGAGCTGCATACATATGCATGTAAGCCTCTTTTGCAGGTTGTGTATGTATTGCATAATATGAGCGGAAGGGAATCGGGGCGTTCGCTATTCTGACTGAAAACACCTCGGACGTTTTGGAGGGTCCAAGAAAAAATTGGGACGAACCGTGATCTGGACGGGCAGCGAACGAAATACCAGACCGGGCAATTGTTGTGTCGATGCATTCGATGAGACCAATCCCGTCGAGAACAGGCGTCAAATCCAAATCCTTGAATGCATGGTATTGGTTCCTCGACGTCTTGGCTCACGGTAGACGCGGACACGGACACGGGAAAGGGCCTCAATGATGGCGAGAGGCGCGCAGAAAAAGCCCAGACATCCATCCATCAACCAACCACAAAAGAAGAGACATGGTATTGTCGACATCTTGTCATTGTCTTGGTAGTGTAGTTTATTATCAAATCGATGATGTTTCCCAGACAGGCTGAATCGGCTCTACTCTTCACCGGCTGCAGGCCTACTACCCTGCCAAAGTTCGCTCTGAGTGTCTTTCCGGGATCGCGGCCGCTGCCCTTAATATACCAAGCCTTGCGGTTGATTGCCATTGCATCCGCTCCGCGGCAGGATGGGCGGGAACTAGTTAAGCGTATCCGTATGTCATAGACGAGCAAATCGGCAAGGCTGGTTAGGGTTCCAGATTCCAGACAAAACCGCCTTTTTAGGCGACGATCCCTGGATAGAAAATGGCACCTTCCACAACCTCCATCACTTCTGCTGTGCTACACACCTGTCCATGTCGAACTTTGGTTTTGTCATTTATCATAGATGAAGATTCTTTTTCATTGGGAAAAGCTCCATAACTCCCCGAAGGACAAGAGATAACGCTCGAGTTGCGAGATCGACCGGAGGATTTGACTCCTGGAGAAAGAATTTCTCGATGGGGATAGTAATTCGGGGGAATGCAATGCCACGGGACGAGGACCCGGCCAAGCTAAACAAGCTCCATGCGGTCAGCCGTTTGCTGGCTGTTGGACGCAGTGACGAACCATTTTACCCCGCCGCCATCCGGCAACGGCATGTTTGCCCTTACGGGGAGTGGGCCGACTGACACCGCTTGTCCCGGAGCTTTGAGACTCGTCTCTTGGCAGGTGTTCTCGAACGGCTGAAGGAAGGGTGGCTCAATGAGACAGCGGACGACGATACCTACACTATCCCATGCCAACAAGGTTGTGAGCGAATCCGGGGAAAGTGAAAACTCAACCGCTGTTCTCGTTAGGGGTCATAGGGCGGGAGTGTTTTTTTTTTTTTTGGCCAGCATTACTGCCCGACTTGATGTTGTCGTCGGGATCTTCTTCCTGTTCCTCGCCTTCATCAGCCCCGTCGATCTCATACACTTCGCTCTCAGGTTCCCTTGTAAGCAGGAGGTCTTCGCTCCCCTGCCATTGAGACGGCATGGGTGGCAACTCGTCGTCATCACCCCAGCCGTAGTCCTCGTCCTCGCTGTCGGCAATCTCTAAGTCGGTATCTCCCAGCTTCCTTTTTTGGGCCTGGACTGAAGAGAGAGCCTCAGTTTGTTGTGTAGTGTCATACTCTACTGTAACCAAGCCAGTCTAACTCTATGTTAGTAATCCGATCACTCAAGAACTATTTACATTGTCCTTACCTCTTCGATCCTGAATGCGCAAACACTATCAATCCATGAGGACTGGACCTTTCCATTGAGCTTCTGGACTCCAACAAAGCGTAGTCCAAGCGGCTCAACACCCTGTTGAGCCCAATTACGGAACAGCACCAGCCTCGTCGACATTCCTTGTTCCCATACCGTTGCCGTGATGGCCGGAACCAGGGTCGCACCGCGTTCCGCCTGCATCTTTGTGGCACACTGGGTGAGAACCACAATAGCGACGTCACGAGTTGCGGCCAGCTTCTGGAGACTGCCCACAATGTATTGGAGCGCCTGGAGCCGGCGGGCTCCCATGGGAGGACCTTTGAAGTCGGTTTAGCCGCTTCTGTGACGGGGTGATAATGACGAAAGAAACATGCTCGAAGACATACTTTTGTTGCCTTTTACGTCCCCTGAGGGGCGAGATTCGGGCACTTTCGGAAAGGCATGGTTAATCAAGGCGGAGAGGGTGTCGACAACTATTAGAGCCGTGCCCTGTGGGATGCAAGATGCGGTGGGCCGGCATAATAGGGCAATCAGGTGAGGAAGACTGGGGCATGTGTAATGGGTGAAGTCGTCGAAGACACTAAAGTCTCCTTCGTCTTCACCTTTGCCGGCGTCTTTGCCCTGGACAGCCGACCGCAAACGATGGATGGGAAGTGGATGAAAGGCATCTGGATACAACACAAAGAGTAAGACTACCACGGCTTGACGGCTATTGGCCGGGCGAGAGGGTGAACGGACCTACCCACACCACTCCGCGTCCATCTTTGAGGCAGGTGGCGGCAAGCTGAATGCTGGAGCCGTCAACATCTCATAATTTGACTGTCGACGAGTAGGATGAAGACCATACCCGAATGCAGTCTTTCCAGATCCCGAAGGACCCCAAATCTCCGTCACATGTCCTTTGTGGACCCCACCAGCGACAGAACCGTCTAGACCGGCTGCCAGAGCGGCATTCAAGGACTCGATGCCGGTCGAAATGAAATTGCTTCCTTTCCTACCCTCTAAGTCCTGCAGGGCCTGGGCCGCCGAGACAGTGGGCAGGCGGTCTTGGATATGTCAGTCTGGACCAGTCAACGAAGCAAACACAGCAGAAGGCAAACACTCCTGCTCAGGCGAACACATACGGGTTGAGGGCAGGTCGAAGCTGGCGTTGTCGTAGCCGTGAATGTCATGATAGTCCACCATATTCTACCGATTTATCTGTATTTCCATCACGTCTAGACTTGAGGTCCGAAATCAACGTCGGATTTCAACAGCCGAGCTTTAAGGCTGGCTCTTCACGGGACGTGAACGCTGGTTGTTGTTGTTGTTCTGGACATGGGTGGTCGGTGAGCTTCTTGTCGGCTGGCTTGGCAAAAGTTCGCGGCTCGCCAAAGAGCGACGAGATCAAGGGCTGGCTGACATAAGCAGTCTCCCGGTTTTCACCGACGTTTGCAGTTCCTTTTTCCAACGGGAATTCCCAATTGATGAATCGATTTCTTCCAGGCAACAATGAGACCTGGACCAGAAAACTTGACGCAATCTTAGTGCCCTCTTCACACCGCCAAAAAGTCAAGACTCTCCCAAAGAGAAAACGGAAAAAGTAATGCGGCTTGTGTGGATCGAACACACGACCTTCAGATTGAGTTCCTGAAGTTTAACTTCAGTCTGACGCTCTCCCAACTGAGCTAAATCCGCAATCCCCGTTTGGTACTTGTTGGAGTGAGAGTACGTGATTGAAGTACGAGTCTGGAAATATGGGCAAAATTTCTGTGCACCCCACCCAAAGGTGGGCAGCGGCCCAGCCTTACCGCCTTGCCGCCGTGCCTTCCGAACTTTCACATGCAAAATTGATGCGCGATTCATCACCATCGACAATCTCACCAACAGAGCCGCCACTCCAATATTGGCTACCATGATGTCATAAGTTCGAATTTGCTTTTCGGCACCAACACCCGGGCCAACCGCTTGCCCCAACGCATCCCACAAGCCCACCAAAACTTAAGGTGTAGTCCAAGAATTCCTCGGTCCCAAGGTCGTAACACCTTTTGCCCACTCTGCGGGATCCCAACGAGCACGTTCGCGCAAATTCCTCAGCCCTGCGAATCCCGTTGGCATTCCGGCACATACCGGCGGTCAATCTGTTTGATTGCCTCTCTCAATTAACCGCATGATCGCAATTTATCGCGGTTGGCACTACGGTCTTGAAACAACGAAACATCGTCACACTCCGTGCCCACCGCCCTCACGCAAGTTGCCATGTCAATGCTGTGATCCCCTATCTTATCATGACCCCAGTTTTTACCCCAACTCTCCCCGGAGACAGGACAAAAAGGGCAGGTTGGAGAATCCTTCACATGCAAAGGCGTCGCCTTCTCACTCCCCAAATTGGCGACAGGAGGAAATGAGATTGCCGGAGTTGGAGGCTCCAGCGTTTCTGCCGGGGAATTGTCCGGACCCCCGGATTTGCGGTTGCTTGCCGAGGACAAGACGTTGGCTCCAACGTGGGGAGACAAGTTGTTCTGTTGCCGTCACCGTTTCTTCTGCCGATGCTAAGCTATGCTTCCGGGCAACAGAAAAAGGGGCCTTTTCTGATTTCTCATATATCTTGTCATTTCTTTACTTCCTTTGTCTTGTGTTCTAGTTTCTCATCCATTTTTCACAAGCCTTGGCCAGAAGACCTCGTGTCGTTGTCTGATGCCGGAACCGCGGCCTTGGCCCAAAGAACCTTCGGGCCATGGCACCTGGATAACCAGCCAGCCACAGTGCACCAGGAGAACTACAAGCTCCAACAAAACCTGGGTCCTTACGTCGTCACGAGGTGCAGGGACACTATTCGCAAACTACCTGGCGTAAGTTTGGCTGCTTTCAGCCTGGCAAATGTTTTTGACAGACATCCACCCTGCAAAATTATCGTCCGACCATGTGATCCAGGGGCAAGCGCTGGTTCGTCCGAGCTTATCCTCATCTTAAACCTTATCACCCCAAAAGCTGGGGGCTAATCGAATTCGTGGGGGCGTTCTTCAACCCCAATCCACTTGCTCAGAATTCTCAGGCGGTATTGCCGCCTCATCCCTGGAAAGAGCCCTAAAACTTGTCACATATTTTGTTTTCAACCAGGCTGTCTGCAGAAAAAAAAGACCAAATTATGACGTGCCAACAGCTCGGAGACCTCTCGGCTTTTCCTGCCAACGGCAGCAAAACGCAGGCTCTCCGTCTCGCAAGCCTAGGGCCCCAGGACAATGGTTTGCCCAGCCGAGGGCTCTGACGCTTCCAGCTCCGTTAGCGTTATGGTGCGACCAGCCCCTGGGCTTGCTCGGGGCCCCACAAACTTCCTTTTGCTGTCACTCTAGCAAGGCCTGCACCGGGTTCTCGTCGCGGTTGTGCGCCGGGAAGAGAAAGCCAAGACCTGGACATTCACTGCGGAGCCGCCGGGTAATATTTTGAGGCGGGCGATCGATCTCCGTGCATGTTAGCCGCGCCCAGTCAGGAAAGCCCCCAGCATTGTGCTCCGGAACGCAACAATCACAAAGGCGAACTCTAGATACGAAACAGGCGCTTGATGAAGGGAGAAAACCATCCGGATCGGCGGTCAAAAGCGATGCCCATTGACGCATAGCTTTTTAACCTCTCTTTTGCCTTTGGTTCTGCCTTCAAATCGCTTCCTCCTTGCCTTCCTGTATGGCGGATCCTCCTCGGTCTTTCTGTGGATCGCGGAAGTTCCCGTAATGACTCGCTGCTGGCATCTGGCTGGTTTTTATCTCGCGCCTTCGGGCTTTGCTCGGTGGGACATGGGAGACACAGACGTGAAATTTTTCGATACCGCTTACGCTACTCTGCAGGCACACAGATCTCCCAGTTGCTCACTTTCCGTTCGTACACGTGTTCGAAGGCCGCAGGCAAGACTCCTGTTCCGTAAATGCTTTCTCGGCTACCCTGTGTTTGGCGGAGAAGCGAGTGAGCAAAAAATCAATAAATTACCTTCCTCTGGGGTCCTGTCCTGGGTTGCATTTGCAGCTTGCTCCAAAGCGTTAATCCAGACATAAAGAGAAGCCTCGGAAAACCACCTCTTCGCATTACTTCCTGACTGAGCCGGTTCGGCGGCATAAGGTGTGCAAGGTGTGCTTGATGGCTCTTCGGCCCGGTTCCGGCGTATCGCGTTAGAACGTGGAGAAGCCGATAAGGCCAGGCCCGCAAGGTCTCGGACCAATGACCAGCTCCCATTCTGGAAGCTACAGTGCGGTTTTCTCGCGATGCACCTGTCTGTGAGTGCATCTCGCGATGCGATGGACGGCGGACTATGAGCCGTAGAAGGGCCGTTTTGGATTGCACCGGCGACATTGACAAGCGGGCCGTTTGGTAACAGCAACAGCAGAGATCCGATCTGTCCAAGGCCTTTTTTTGTTCCTTGCAGCAGACGACGTCGAGGAGCAGCTTGGCCCCGCGTTGTCTTATGAATAAGCTACGAAAGACGATGGCGAAGGTATCGATAATGCGCACGGTGCATTCCATGACGACCCCCACGCCCGCTCGGTGTGGAAATGGTGTGGAATTGTGGATGAAGCAGACAGGATGGATCGTAATCAATAGTGATCAGGACGTGTCACGCCAGACACAGTCCGCACTACTGACAATTCCCCGTAAAACCAACCAGTCAGTTGTATCCGTTATAGAGCCAGCCCTGGGTTGGAAAAGCAGCAGCAGTATAGCAGCGCTGCACAGTACAGCCAAACCAGTTAAACACAGCGGAGTCTGCTAGCCTCGGTCCGCCTTGGTGCTGATAAAAAAACGAACATTGCGCTCGGCCCTGCGTATCTCTCTGGCACCAGGCAATGAGGCCGGGTTGCTCTCTAAAAGGCATGCGACCGATATGGCGTCTTATCGGAAAAGATCATGGTACCCCAGATTTCGGGTGACGATGTGGGAGGACCCCGGCTAAGGGGGTGGACTTTTCCCCAACTTTTGTTCGGCCGATGGTGTTAAGCATGTCCTACGCAATTGGGCAAAATGCTGTCTCGTCTGCCTTTGTGTTCGGGCGCATAGTCGGAGTACATTTCCCGTAATTTAAAGTGCGATGGAGGAGAAACGCAACAAGGAGGAATGCCAGAGCAAAATCCGATGGACTGCAGCCCCAGCTTCCAGCTTTCCGCGCCGATGATGTCTACCGCGGCTGTATCCGACCAGTTGGAAGATTGGCTATGGATACAGCATAGCTTGCTCTGTGCCTAGCCAGCTGTCGTGTCCTACCCGCGCTCCACACAGATTACGCCTTTGGGGCTTTGGAACGCGCAGGAGCCTTATCTCTCTGGCTCGCGCCACCCCCGAGGTTGTTGGATTCACATCCTACGGCGATTCCCTGGTGATACGGACAGATGGAGGGTCGGAACCAAAACAAAGCGGAGAGACCCTATCCCCAACTTGTCTCTATTTCCTATCTATATTGCAGATCCGCCTACTGAAACATGGGGCCTTGCACATCGCGGTCCTCGTAGACTGGCCGTTAGGGCCACGGGCCCTGCCGTTCACTTATCGTGGGGGTTTACGCGTGACCAGATGAAACTTATGGGGTAGGGCTTGGGAGCTGTGGACTGGTTGTCGTTGCGATGATTGCTAGGTGTGAACGTTCTGGGTATTTGTACATGGTAACGTACAGTCTACACTACGGCCGAGCGTTTGCCAGCCAACAGCCGCAACGAGGTGTCCCATTGCCGGCTTGGCCATCGTTGTCCACGGTCAGCCGGACCGGGCTTTCGGTGACGTCCGCGGCTTAGGAGTCGCACACCTGCCAGACCCAGGATCGCCCCGTATGGTGCAAGAACAGCCTAAGTGCTCCTCAGATGTGCAACGCCTTGCAGTTTACGGGTACCCGTGTTTCCCCGGATTCTTCGGTCGCCACCCGGCCATCTGCAGCGAATAGATGTGCAGCTTATCAAGAAAATCTTTGGGAGCGCCGACGTTGGCATGATCACCTCTTGCGGAGGGCTGACAAGAGGCATTCAGATAGGTTGTGGTGTTCATCACAAGTGATCGGCACAGCGTTGCTGGATTCATGAGCATTTCATCATACTGGGGAGCGGCTCACTTCTCAGACTCACACGTTCATCAGCTGCTTGCTTTTGGCCCACGACAAGCCGAAAAGTGACAGCCAAGAGCTGTCCAAGACGCATCTGAGCCCAACCATTTTGCACGGCGCTCAGCCACTTGCTATGAAGTCCCAGACACAATCCACACCGCCCCCAGATTGCGCAACTGCCGCCCCAGATTTGGCGGATGGGTGAATGGATCGATGTAAGCAAGCGTTTTTTTTGCCCCAGAAGCTTTCAGGTGCAAAAAATCCGCCTGGAGCCCCGCAAAACGCCAATGATCACCGAGATGCCTAAACAACAGCAGCTGGCAGTTTCAATTTCGCACAGCCGGATATCCGTGGGATGGAGCCACGAGGTGAACGGTTTCTTTGTGGGACTGGGCTTGTTGGAAATTGGAAATGGCCTGGTAGCCGAGACACTTGACCGTAGGGAACGAACGAACGAAGGGACGGGACTTGCACGACGACTCCACAGACAAGAAGATCTCACTTGTCTCGTGAAGAAACGGGTAAAGACCACAAGACTCGGGGCGTGTTGTGTGCGGTCACGTCGGAGACTGTGGGAGCACGATTCCATGTGCTGTCATTCCGCGAGAACCCTCCTGGCCGCGGATGCGATGGGCATGCCTGCGTACGAAAGACAGCATCTGAAATTGACGGCAACGACAAATAGCAGGCTGCCATCGTGTTGACGGGGCAGGTAAACAAAAAGCAGGAGAGCGAAGAGCTCCGGTGAGGGCGCCTGAGTGGCCCATACAGAAAAGCAGACAGCCAACCAAGACCCGCGTTCAACATTAACAACACATGATATTTTCCCGTCAAAAGCCCTCCGTCCTGCCTTGTGGCCTTTGGCTGAGTTGATTGCCTGGATTTTCGCGATCTGTCTGTTCACCCCACAGGCCCCAGTGTGTGGCCCCAGAAAACCTGGGCACCTCAGACCACACTGTTGTCACCGCAAATCTTTTTTGCAATATTCGCGTCCACAAGAATGCTTGCATCATCTCGTTTCTGGGACCTGCCGCTCCTGTCTGTTACTCCGTACGTAGCGGACACTGGCCAGCGCGGGCCAGCTGTCCCGCTGCAAGCGAGGCAGCGAGAGACCTGAAGCATCAGAGAGACCTGCAAGCAGCACAAGGCCTGTACTCCGCGAGAATGGGCGGAGCGGGGAGCGATACGTACGGATACGTACGGATACGTACCCGTGTCGGTCAGAGACAAGGACGGGGACAAGGACGGGGCCGGGGCACCGCTGGCGAGAGCCCTCGTGTTTTTCCCCGAGAGTTGTGTGTGGCCGGCCTGTGCTGGCGCCTGGGTACCCGGGAATGGACAAGACCTGGATTTCGGATTTTGGCATCTGTGAGGCGGCTGCCCCATCAGCCACAGGCCACTGTCCACACCCATCATCCTGTGTTCTCTGCCCGCTGTGTGCGCGTATGTGGGTGCTGTGGGTGTGCCTGTGGGCGCTGTGAGTCGCTGCGTTACCGAACGGGCACCCCCAGGCTAGGCAGGGCAGTCGCCCACACCCCCAGTCCCCAGTAGCCCCAGTCCTCCTACTGTTGTCACACCCACACCCACTCACACCTGCCCTGTCAGGGCTGTGGTGTGGGTGTGGTACGTACCCAACACTCCCCCCCACACCGGGGGCCACCCCCCCTCGCGCAATCCCTTCCATGCCCCTGGCACCCTCCCTGTCAGCCGCCCGCGCGCCATTTAAAACCAGTGCTGCTTCCCCCAAACAGCGTCTGGACTTTCTGAGATTCCCCCATGCCGCTTTTCTGGAGTGAAGCTTTCTCCCAACAACATCCAGCTCCCGCTCTTAGCACGCACCGCTCGACACGTTTCAAAGCCCTCGGACCTTGGAGCCTGTCGGACACTTGGTGTGACCGACCAACATCTCGATTCACTCATACAGCGACCGCCAACGACGATCACTTACACACATCCTCGACGGCCACATCTTCGCCGACTCGAAAGACGTCTTTCACTTGGTAACTGATACTGGTTAACGGGACCAACGACTGCCTATTGGCAACACATAACGCATTCTCTGTCCCATAGCTGCGCGCATAGTTAGCAGCTCAGCAGGAGAGATTAACGGCATCCACGACTGGAGGGGTGTTTGTCAGAACAACAGACTTCATAGATTAAGGGACTTCCCTGAGGAGGACTGTCCCATGCAACGAGCAAAGTCAGCAGTGGATTTTTCCAGCCTGCTGAACCCAGAACCAGTACCAGAGAGGAAACCGGATCAGACACCACAACTACAGAAACCCGAGGAAAACAACATGGCGACCGTCGGCCTGCTTCGTCCTAACGGACCGGTTCCTGCTGCGCCCCAGGCGCCCGAGCAGCCTACCGAGCTCCCCCGGCCTTACAAGTGCACCATGTGCGACAAGGCCTTCCACCGCCTCGAGCATCAGACCCGTCACATCCGCACCCACACTGGCGAGAAGCCCCATGCTTGCCAGTTCCCTGGTTGCAGCAAGCGCTTCTCTCGTTCCGATGAGCTCACCCGTCACTCGAGGATACACAGCAACCCTAACTCGCGTCGGGGCAACAAGGGCCAGGTGCAGCACCAGATGATGCACCGCATGCAGCCCGATGTCATGCCCCCGCCGCCGGCTCCTAAGATGATTCGCTCGGCGCCTTCGACAGCCTTGTCGTCGCCGAACGTCTCACCGCCGCACTTCAGCACTTACACTCTGCCCCCTCCTCCGCCGTCCATGCTGAGCCCGTACAACCGCAACGCCCTGGGAAGCCAGAGCGGGCCTGACATGCCCATGCTTGCCCGCGCTGCAGGTCAGCTCGAGCGTGATTCTATGATCAGCCCACATCACTACCCGCCATCGACTTCAGCCGCAAGGCACCACGCGTCTCCCTACTACAACAGTAGCTCATTGCACTCTCGGCCAAATCCACTCCCTGGGCTCGGCGCCTATCACATGTCTCGCACGCACGCGGCTGATGACCACGACGACCACTATGGCCCTCACGCTTACCGCCAGCCCAAGCGCTCGAGGCCTAACTCTCCCAACTCGACCGCCCCGTCGTCCCCGACCTTCTCCCATAACTCCCTCTCCCCGACTCCTGATCACACCCCGCTGGCTACGCCGGCTCACTCCCCGCGGTTGCGCCCCTTCAGCGGCATCGAGCTGCCTCCCTTCCGCAACCTTAGCCTACAAGGGCACACCACGCCTGCCCTGGCTCCTCTCGAGCCCCAGCCAGATGGCCATCGCGACCCTCCTGCGCCCTTGCTCCCTCCTCCGTCGGTCTCGCTATCTACTACATCGACCCCCTCGTCGAGGAGTAACGGCATCTCGCTGAGCGACATCCTCAGCCAGCCTGATGGGTCCCAGCGTAAGCTGCCCGTGCCCAAGGTTGCGGTACACGACCTATTAGGTCCTAGTGACCACTTTCCGATGCCGGGGAGTGGCAGGAGCTCCGCCGCTGGCAGTGTAGCGGGGCCAGATTTGTATGACCGCATTTAAAGGAGTTTCTCTGGGGATAAGATATCCAATCTAGACTTTACTTTTGCGTCTTTGTGTTAGAACATTTTGCCATTTGCAACAGGACCAACCAACCAATCAGGGGCCAATCAGTCATCAGTCTAGAGAGCAATCGGGACGGGACGGGATAGGAACACATCTGGGATTGTTTGGGATTTAGTACCGGACGCGACATGATTCATGACCATTACTCATCATCATTACCATCGGGAAGGAGGGAATCATACACTTCGCGGAGTAACAAGGACAAATGATCATTTATTTATATACATACTGTTGTCATCTATAGAGGCAGGGAGGATTGGCGATAATCGATCTCAGCTTTTGGATTTTTTTTCCCACTTTGCACACCAGACTCCGTTTCCTTTGCGCCTTTGCTTCCCTCCGCTTAGTTCACTGGATCGGTTTCAACACCCATCATGTCATTCGATGATAGATGGACGAGCGTTTGCTTGCTTTTTTCTTTTTCCTTCTCCATGAATCGATTGATCGACTGATCACACCACTTAATTGTTTTGGCGATATCGGGGGATGAGTGGATCTGGTTTTGCTCTCTCCTCTCCTCTCTTCTCTATGTTTCTTTTGTCTTCTCTTCTATGCAAGCAAGATTTACGGATGGATAGACTGATCAGATCACATCGACACCACTTTTGTCTTTCTTTGTAGGGTTTGGTTGGTTGGGATTTTTGGATTTGGATCTTGGTGAGGGATACTTCCAGATAGACAGGTGACCGGGTACAGTGATACAACATCAATCAAGCAATACAAACTTTTTTTTTGGATACCTCAAGTTTCTTCCACAAAGATTTGCATAGATGTCACCTCCGATGGCGGAGCGAGCCGTCCTCACAGCTCGCACTAAGCAAAACTTTTTTTCTGCTGACCCAGCGCGGCCCTGCTGGATCCGGCGTGAGTGACGCCATCGCCAACTCCGTTCCCCGCCATAACCTTTGCGGCTGCGCTGTGGCCCCTCCGCTCCGCTCTCCGCCCGTCTCGTTTCGTCTTTCTTGGGTCTTCCTTTGGTCGCCGACCCTAACCCCCCGACTCCCGATATGACTGTTGCGAACAGCCAACAAAAACCTTTTTTTGACAGGACAGGTGGAGTTGTAGGGTCCGCCCCGGAGTTGGAGAATGCGATGGGGAATGGAATGGAGAAAAGGAGCAGACCAGAAATTATTGTGACATGGCCGCAAAAAAGCATTTTCTTCTTTGTGCTTCTCCGCTTCTTGCTCTCTCACCGCTTCACACCGTGCGAGGGACCCCTGATGAGTTCTTGTGTTGTGTCTCTGCCTTTACAGGCATTCTTGTCCTCCTTCGCAGCTTGCTGGCCAGGGTGTGGATGGACCACCCCGCTTGATAGGGCAAGGTTCTGCTCTCACATGCCGCCGTCCGTGACGCTCAAATGCACTGGCTGGAGGACAACTCACCGCACAAATCAAAATCCTGATCTTGCAAAATCCTGGTCATGAATTTCTTTTGTGCGAAGGGAAAGTCTTGTCTGTCGTCATCGAAGCTAACTAGTCCTACAAGTAAGCTGTTCTACCCGCTCTGGCTACTGCACGGTGTACGTAATAGTTTTCCTTGGGTTTGGCAGCGTTTCCATCGAGGGGACGGTTCCCGTACCCTACCCCAACAACAAACTGGCTGGTTTCCTTGCTATCATCTACTGCGCGCCTGGTGCAGTGGGGGATCGACGCCGGGAGCTGTGCCATTTGAGACCTTGGCCTTGGCTTTTGGTCAGAGGGATAGATTTTGGCACTAGGTTTGGGGCTGGGAAAGCCATAGCCCTCCGGGCTAGAGCTCTACATTCCATGAATCGCGACTGGCGCAGCAAGGACAAAAGGCAGCCCAACAGGTGGCGCAAGCAGATTGTTGTACACGGCACAGCAGCAGAATTCCAATGCATGATACACTAACTGGTCGCCTGCCTGGTTTACTGGGGGCAAAGCCTTCGGGTTGCCTGGCCGCCTGGCCGCCTGACGTGTTGTTTAAGGGGCTAACGTCTCCTGAGACCTACAAGACCCAGGTTAGGCTTTCATGTGGATATCTCCATGGTTCCTGCTGTCCTCAAATTCCAAACCCAATCCTCTGGATCATGAGGCTTCTGTATCATGAGGGCCTCGTCTGCCGTACCCGGCCCCGTCCCATCCCGACCCGATCGCCGAGTGACTGAGGTGCGACGACAAAGATAATACCCGTTTCAACAGATGACTTACACGCCGCCCCGCGCCCCCGCTGTGCCGCCCCCGCCCCCGCCTTACAAAAAGTTGCACTCTCCTCCAGGTCCTGCGCCTTGTTTCACGCACATACCTTAGCCTAGCCCAACTTATTCATCATCTTTCGCTGACCGCCCCAGGTTTCTGTTGTCGTACTGTTTTGTGTGATGCCGTGTCCAACTTTGTTTCGTTTCCCCCATATCCCATCCCCGATCAGGCCCCTTTGGGTTCCAAAACAGGTCGTACAAAAGAACAGGTGGCGTATATCTTGTCGAGTGCAGTGACCTTCGCCTTCACTTAGACTCTCTTTCCAGGCTGGAATGAATCTCTCGGCCTGAGTTTGTCCTACACCCCAACCTACCTTCAAGATTAGCCGTCCAGACCCCGACAATCAGCCCCTCCGTCCCTCTATCTATCGTGTCGTTATCTCTGCCCTGTCGCAATCTACACTCCCTCATCCCTCTCCTGCGGCCACAGCCGAAGTAAAAGACAGACTGCTACCCTAGGCGGATAGTGCACTCACTACCTATCCGCGAGTTCAAGTAGACCCTTCCTTATAAGTCCGAAAGGTAGGATAAGCCAAGAACGCGATCAATCTCTGCTGTTACTTCACCCAACCGGCAAGCGTGCGAGCGCACCCGCTTACAGACACACCAACTGCACGCCCGCGGCCGTGGGTCTTGACGACGCATGCCATTTGTTGTTGCACGTGTGGGTGTGTGGTCTGGGACCTACTATTTAAGATAAGCGTGTGGTGTGCTTGTTTAGTGCCGCAGGCCGAGACGGCGGCGACGCCGTGTGGCTGGCTGTGGGGAGGTTGCGTCGGGGATGGTGTGGTCGCGCGTTGCCAATACAATCGCCGTACGACACATCTTTGCGGGTGTGCTCTCTATCTTTGATTGCGACGTCGGACTGCTCGGAGTTGACTGGCAGGAGATGCTGATCACTGGGTCCCTCAGGGCTGTGGATAAGTTTGACTGAGGCCGCGTGGGTGGGTTGTCAGCCGTGGTAGGTCTGGGAAGTGTCCCCGATGGACTGGCTGACACGCCTGCAGCGCCAGAGATGGCGTGGATGGTGTCAACCGGTTTTTACTTGTTATGTCTTTCTTGAACGAGCGAGAGACATGATGCCAACTGTCACAGCAGATAGTCGTGGGTCATGCAGCTCTCCCGTGTCTAGGACAACGAGATATGGGAACACTTGGACAGTCTTTTCTGCGTCAAGTCTGCGGTTTTGTTCTGGTTGCCTGTTGCTCAGCCCTCCCAACATGTTCTCGGCGAACGGCATGGCAGAGATAGAAACGCCTGGAGGATATGCAATATCGGGCTCCTTCTGGACGGCAGAGTTGGGGCGTAATTAGGGAGACGTGGTGTAGGTGTAAGTGCCCTGCGGCGCGGGGGGTTGCGCTACCGTTCCGGATGCTGTGAGATCACGTCAGCGTTTGAGCCGTCGTCCCGTTAGCCCATCCCCTTTTCGATAGGTAGCGTCGTGGAGGTGGTGCAGCGTCAGTATCCAAGCCCCAGGAAAATGCTCTTGTAAAAGGATGCCAAATCGGGCCCCGGCTTAATGATTGGCGATCTGTGGGGGTGGGGTACTTGGGAAAGGTAGCAAATCTGGGGAGACTATCACCCGACAAAGTCTTGTCCCTTGACAAAAACATATTGCTCGGCTCATCCCTCGGGATTTAATACTCCACTGTGTCAAAGGATGACGGGTATCTCTGGAAAAATTGTCCCCGGATTACTGACACTTGCAAAGCGCGGCACTTGCTTTGCTTTTCGAAATTGTTGACAAACAGCTGGAACCGAACGCGTAGCCGCCCACAGGCATATTTACCAGACAAGCCGCGCTGGGCGAGCAACCAATAGTAGAAGAACCACGTACAAACCACCAGACGCGTCAAAAGCGGGCATGACGTTTTCTCTTCACCGCAACTTCGAGCAGCAGAGAGGCAATGATATTACGTCTTGGGTGGTGGTCGGCATGCGGGCCAAGGCTCCCTGATCTCAAGCGCCGCAATCCTACAATCGGCATGTCCAGATCATTGATCTTTGCCACTGCGCAAACTGCAGCACCACAGCCAATCGCTTCTCCCCCATGATGTCCAGGAAGTCCATGGGTGCCGGGGGCCGGGCCCGGTTGTCCGACTCTGAATGCTCAACAAATTTGCAGACACGAAATGCATGCCTGCCGTTGCCGGCTTGCTGTCGGGGAGCTGATTGGATGTATTGCGTCCAAGTGACCGCCGGAGAGTTCTGGAGGTCTGTTCCAGAACATTACCGCGGGAATTGCCGCCAGGCTCGGTGCTGATAGCGTCGGGTTAGCTGCTGTTGGTAGTGTTTCGGCTCCCCAGAAGCACTCCAGCTATTTGGGTCAGGGCACTGGAGATCTTGCTGGTGTCATCGGGCTTCCCCGCAAACACAAGGGTCCGACATAGCCGCCAAGCTTCTGGGGACAGCTCGCTAACGCAGGATTACAATCTTATGCAAGCGCCTTTCCGTGGTAAGAAATCATTGAAAGCCTGGCCCGCTCGAAGCCAGTGGCCCTTGATGAAAGGACAGTTGTTTCACGCCACCTGAGCGCATTGTTTTGGTGGCAGTGATTCTGAGGGAGTGCATTTAGTGTTGGTTCCTGACTTTTTTTTCCTGTCACTCGTAGAGTTTGGGTCAAAAATGGCGACTACGCAAGTGAGAAGCAGCTGAGCAACCGGTCCCGGATGCCGTATCGGTGTCATATAGCGAGGCATGTTGTTATACATCATAGGCT